TTGACAATGCGGGTTCGACGAGCTTCTTAAGTCGTGCAAACAAATTGGTAAGTCTTTTACTTTTATTTGATTTCATGTTTTCTTTTCAATTTAACTTTTTTTTATTTGATTTATAGATGGAGAAGAACGAAGGTGTGGAACCTGATTTTGTAGAAATCATTGAGGATACACAAACCAACAAGAAAACCGGATTAATTCAAGACGGTTATATCGTCGGAAAAACGTCGGCAATTTGAAACGAATTTCCAACGACTTACCAATTTTCGACGAGATCGAACCGATCAATCAAGTACGTCGAAAATCCGTCGGAAATGGGTGTTTCCGATGCCATACCGACTATTTCTTCCGTTGGAAATGACCTCTGTTCTTGTAGTGAAAAGGTAATATTGCCCCAAAAACTTATTATAAAACAGAGAAGTTGATGCATACATTGAGTATGTTGTACCACATGATTGATGTATGCAAAAGTATTTGCATGATTTATTGGAGTGAATCCGACGAGGATTTAATGAATTGCAAATTTTATGAGCATCCATGGTACAAACCTGAGAAGACATCTAGGAAGGTTTCTTCTACTAGAAAGCGTATTACATACAAGAGAATGTTCTATCTTCCATTATCATATCGGCTAAAAAGATTGTATATATCTGAAAAGACATCACCACATATGAGTTGACACGCAAAACATACATGCCATGATTGAAATATGCCTAAGTTAGCATGCAAAAGCAGGAATATTTATCTGGGGCTATATACATATGTTTTTAACCAATTTGGATCGTCTGGTGATAATTATTCTCTTTAGCCTATAATTTTTACTCCGTATAATCTCCAGCCAGATATGTGTATGAATAGAGAATATTTATATCTTATTATACTAGTGTCAGGGCAAAACCATCCAAAACGGAGTTTGGATGTATTTTTACGACCACTGATTGAAAAATTGTAAGAACTTTGGATAAATGGTGTTGAGACATTTGATGTTTCAGTGAAACAGAATTCCAATTTACAAGCTGTGTTAATAAGGATTATAAAGGATTTTCCAGCATAAGAGAAGCTATTTGGATGGACAACTCATGGAAGAATGTCATGTCCAAATTGAATGGATCAGACAGATGCTTTTCAAATGAAAAATGGTAGCAAATCTAGTTGGTTTAATTGTCATCAAAGGTTTTTACCACCAAATCATGTTTTTCACCAGACCTTTTGTTCTGCACACCTCTCTACAGTTTATAAGGTTATGTAGTACATTAAGGGAAGTGTTGGACAAGGTTTGTTCTATTCATCGGATTCTGACCTCACTCTTAAAGGATATGCTGATTCTGATTGGGCATGATGTCAAGATAGTCGCAGATCAACAACAGGATTCTCCATGTTTGTTGGATCTTCTTTACTCTCTTGGCGGTCCAAAAAACAGCCTACTATTTCTCGGTCTTCTACAGAGGCAGAGTATAGAGCATTGACTTTAGCCTCATATGAAATGTCATGGTTAGCTATTTTGCTCTCTGATTTGAAGATTTCTCCTGCTAAGGTTCTTGTTTTGTTCTCTGACAGCACTGCTGCAATCTACATTGCTACTAACCCTATTTTTCATGAGCGTACAAAACATATAGAGGTCGATTGTCATATAGTTCGGGAGAAGCTGAACAAGGACCTTCTGAAGATGTTACATGTTAAAACAGAGGATCAAGTGGCAGACATTCTTACTAAACCTTTATTTCCATACATGTTTGCTCATTTGTTGTCCAAGATGAGTATCCTCAACATATTAACTAGGTCGAAATTAGAAAAAGGAAGAAAGACATGCCTTCGATTTGAGTTCACTGGCGGCTGCGCTGGAGAATGTGTCTTCGGTGGAGCAAAAATTTATGGCTAAATACGGCGGAGCACGAATTAAAGTTTGAGGTTTGGGGTTTTGAGGTTTGAGATGGAAATTTGTCGAGAGAAGTGAATTTGAGATGTCGAGAGAAGAGGGTTTCCCCTTAAGGTTTTGTCGAGAGAAGAGGGAAATGAATAGATCTGAGGCGCTTAAGTGAATTATTTTGGTTAAGTATTGGCGGATTAAGTGTTTTTAGATTCCCGCTCATGAATTTTCTGTCATTACGTGCGTTTATCAGGCGTTATTATAAAGTTACCAAAATAAAAATTAATCTGTCATAGCAGTTACGGGAAATGAATTATCCTCGTGTGCTATCAATGTGAATATTATAGTGGCAACAACTACTTTGATACTATATTGTAGTACAGTATAACTTCATCAATATTTATCGCTATTTATCTATGTTTAGTAACAAATTAGCTACAAATAGTAGTAAATTAAAATTTATCTCTAATTTGTAAATAATAGTAGCAAATTGTTGTTACAATATTATGATGTGGCATAACATGTAGCTATATAGAAGAAACATTATAGTATATATAGTCACAATATTGCAACTATATATATGCGCCCATAGTACAAATCTTCTTTTGGTCGAAAACCAATGTCTTGTCCTTGTGTGCTTTTCAAGTTAAGAATAACACTTATTGCTGCAACCTAATGATCGATGTTGTTGCAAATATGGTATAAACTTAGCTAATATCAGAACAATGTAACATAGGTAGGTCTAAGTAATTGTAAGGTTGATAAGATGTTATATACTTTGGATCTCCAAAAGTGTATATGAACTACGGAAGTGGATCGATGAGCTCCACTCAGCGAGATGAAAATCTTTGTGATAAGTTGGAGGTGTCAATTTTAATGGAGAAACACTCAACATAAAAGAGAAAAGAAAGAGAATTCGAAAAAACTGAATTTTCAATTGATAAGAATGGTGAATGCAAAGGAAATAGGTGTTGAGCTTATATAGGCTCGAAATCAAATATCCCCAACATTCTTTTTTTTTTTCGTCTGAAAGATTATATATCACGGGTGAAATACGTTGTCGGAATACAAAGGCCAGCGAGACTTTAACCCCCAGAAACTAAGCCGGCGGGACTCTAACCCCCAGAAACTGAGCCCCATAACAGGGGAAACAAACAAACAAAAGAGAAAAACTAAAACTGAAAAGATCTAAACATGATTGAAATGATTTAACACAGAGATACAAATTCCTTTTTATCCGAGCCAACCGAGATCACAAAACTAGCAAGAAGTCGTCGAAGGAGCTGAACACCACCCAGAAAATCTCCGATCTACATGCCTCAATTGTTAATTAAGAGTCTTCAGAAGAAAAACCTTGGGATACCTTGTATGGCGGGACGGTGGAACCTTGGCCAAACTTGCAAAGACCGTCGGAATCGCCGGGCCGGGAATGTCAACTAATGGACGTGAACCGGTAAAAGGACCCAAACCTAGGCGGATCTCGCCCTAGATCCGTTTGTTGAAGTTGTGTGAGGAAACCTGAAAATTAGGTCGCCCAAACCGAATCACCACCACACCGACAGTGGGTGGCTTAGAGCCATCGCGGTTAGGGTCAGGAAGAACTCAGACAAATAAGGAATATAAACCTGCACCAAAAACCAAGCAACCAAACCCTAGATCTAAAAAGAGAGAAATCAGAGAAGGCAACGAAAAACGAAACCAATTCACATATCTCTCCACACAGTAAACCCAAAACTTGTTAACTAAGCAAAAACAGAAAAGCCAACCGACGCCGTGACCATGGTGGCCCACACGCGCCGGTCGGAGATACAAAAACCAGCGGCGAGAGTTTGTTGAAGAAGAGAGAAGGGAGAGAGTTTTAATAAGAGAGAGAAAAAGCCACATTTTTTTGATATCCCCAACTAGGCCTGGGCATAATACCCGAACCCGAAGAACCGAACCGAACCCGACCTGAAAAACCCGACCCGAACCCGAACCCGAAGTTTTAAAATACCCGAACGGGTTCTAAACTTCACAACCCGAAAACCCGAACCCGAACCCGACCCGAACTCGAATCCGAACAAGTACCCGAACATATCCGAAATATAAATACATAGCTATAATATATTAGTAATATTTATACTTGTAATAGTCTAAGTGTCTAAATTATTCGGAGGTTAAGATATTTTCGGGTGTTTTATCTACTTTTGGTTAGATTAGGGTATAAAATACTTGAAATTTATAGATTTTCTGAGTATTTTCAATACTTTTCATAGAATCGGATACAAATTTTTAAATATTTGGATACTTCGGGTAAACCCGAATCCGAACCCGAAATACCCGATCCGAACCCGATCCGAACCCGAAGTTTTAAAATACCCGAACGGATCTTAGTTTTCTAAACCCGAAAAAACCCGAACCCGAAAAACCCGACCCGAACCCGACCCGAATATCCGAACGCCCAGGCCTATCCCCAACATTCTAAACCAAGCAAAAAATAAAACATATATTCAAAATACAAAATAATTGATTACCCAAATTACTAGTCGTTGGGCATTAACTGCTTTGATGCAAATGGGTCTAAACATGGAAGGCTTAGGCCTGAGGGCCTTGACTTTCTTTGAGTTGTGTGACGTGCAAACTAGGACCTATTTCAATTATACACCAAACAGGTAACAACTAGGACCTATTTTATGAAAAATTAAGTTAGCACGATCTCTACACTTTCTTAAACTATAAATAGATCCATTACTGATTAAATTTAGTGTAATTTTTGAAAGAAATTATTTAGTGCATACATTCCAGGAAAAAAAAATGTAATAATGTGAACATGCATGAGAAAAAAAATACAAAAATTATTTTGCTTACACAACAATTTAAAACACCCGTAGACGCCAAACACTACAGTAACCCATTTTTAGGACAAGAAACAAAGTGAAAAAAAAAAAAACTAAACTAACCAAAACTTAAAAGCCACAAAGGCCCAAAGAACAAAACAAAAAGCAAACCCAAAAAAAAAAAAAAACAACAGAAAACAAAAAAAAAAAGCAAAGAACCGTTTATTCTTCATCTTCATCTTCTTCTTCTTCTTCTTCGCTTCGTCTTCTTCTTCTTCCGTGAAGAAGGTCAAAAACACACCACCGCTTAACCCAATTACAAAAAAATGGCAAAGCTTCAAAATTTCTCAAATTAAACAATCTCTTTTAGTTATTCCCCCTTCTTCTTCGTAATCGCCGCCGGCTTATGCTGTTTCCGATTGTTATCTCCGGTGTATCTCCGGTGATCTCTTCCACGACGAATTTATAATTACTATGAAGAGCAACTCCAAAATCAACAACGGAGATAATCATAATCAAACGAAGAATAATGGTACTAATGGCTTTTTGCCTAATTCGTTAAAATTCATCTCTACTTGTATCAGAACTGCTTCTTCCGGTGTTCGCTCAGCTAGCGCCTCCGTCGCTGCTTCTCTCTCTTCTGATTCTCATGAGCTTAAAGATCAGGTTTTGATTTTCCCCAATTCGTGATTTTGGATTTTGAATTTGGAATTTGGGGGTTTTTGATTCATTATTTGATTCATTCTCCAATTGGGTTTATCTGATTTTGATCAGATTAGGAAAAAGTTTGAGTCTTTTTTAGCAGATAGGTTTGACTTGTGATCTTTGTTTTGGTGAAGCAGGTGTTGTGGTCTTCATTTGATAGATTGCATACAAGTGAATCGTCTTTCAAGAACGTTCTTTTACTAGGTTATACGAACGGGTTTCAAGTTCTTGATATCGATGATGCAAGTGATGTTACCGAATTTGTGTCGAGGCGGGATGATCCGGTTACGTTTTTACAGATGCAGCCTTTACCTGCTAAATGTGATGGAGTTGAAGGATTTAGATCATCACATCCTATACTTTTAGCTGTTGCTGATGAGGCTAAAGGTTCAGGTCCTATTGTTACTGGTAGAGATGGATCGGTTAGAAATGGTTATGAGGATCCTCTTGCACTCTCTCCCACGGTTGTGCGGTTCTATTCGCTTAGATCTCATAACTATGTTCATGTTTTGAGATTTCGATCTACTGTTTATATGGTTAGATGCAGTCCTCGGATTGTCGCTGTTGGTCTTGGTTCGCAGGTTAGCTTTATGTTCTATCTCTTTTATATGGAGTACATTTTTTCTACTGTCTATTAATGCTTTTCCATTGTGATGCAGATATACTGTTTTGATGCTCTAACTCTTGAAAACAAATTCAGCGTCCTGTCGTATCCTGTACCTCAGCTTGGAAACCAAGGGATATCTGGGGTTAATGTCGGATATGGTCCAATGGCTGTCGGACCTAGATGGTTAGCTTATGCTTCCAATAGTCCTTTGTCTTCTAGTATAGGTCGTCTGAGCCCTCAGAATGTTACTCCTCCTGGCATCAGTCCATCTACGTCTCCAAGTAATGGTAATCTAGTGGCAAAATACGCTATGGAATCTAGTAAGAATCTGGCAGCTGGGTTACTCAATTTGGGTGACATGAGTTACAAAACTATAACTAAATACTGTCAAGATCTCAAGCATGATGGTCCTGGCCCTTCTCTTTCGTCAAGTCCTGGACGGAAAGTTGGTCGGCTTGCATCTCATTCCGCAGAGTCAGATGTTGTTGGAACGGTTAGTCTTTTAGAGAAAGCATCTTATCTTGATTATATTGAAACCTCGTTTTTTTGTGCGTTGTGGAATGTCAAACATATACCAAACCATTTATTGAGTATCGCCAGAACCTGGATTAGGATAGTAAATATGTTATACCGTGTTTTCTTTATTTTGTGATGCACTTTGGATAGTTATTTCAATCTGTTTTTAAAGAGTTGGGTATCTAAAGAAGAGGAGTATAACCCGCTTATCACTATGACTGGTGGCAGGTAATTGTCAAAGATTTTGAGTCCCGAGCTATTATAGCACAATTCAGGGCTCACACTAGTCCAATTTCTGCTCTCTGTTTCGACCCAAGTGGCACTCTACTAGTAACAGCCTCAATCCACGGTAACAATATTAACGTTTTCCGGATTATGCCGTCACCTAAAAAGAATGGACAAGGTGCTCAAAGCTATGATTGGAGCTCCTCCCATGTGCCTCTTTACAAACTACATCGTGGCATGACATCAGCTGTATGTTTCTTATTCCTTTTTCTTTTGTAGCTATGCTTCATTTTGGCATTTATGTTACTGTAAACGCTGCTGTGCTAAATTCCCACAGGTAATACAAGATATTTGCTTTAGTAGCTACAGTCAGTGGATTGCAATTGTTTCATCTAAGGGCACCTGCCATATTTATGTTTTGTCCCCGTTCGGCGGAGAAAATGTTCTTGAAATACGGAACTCTCAATTCGATGGACCAACGCTTGCTCCAACATTGTCCCTGCCATGGTGGTCGAGTCCGTCGTTTATGACCACCCATTTTTCATATCCACCACCAGCATCGGTTACTCTCTCTGTGGTTAGCCGAATTAAATGCAACAATTTCTTCCATGCTGCAAGTTCCGTTGTAGGAAAACCGACCTTCCCCTCTGGCTGTCTTGCTGCTGTTTTCCATCAATCTGTGCCACATGAATCGCAGTCGTCATCTCATGCCTTGGACTACTTACTGGTTTACACCCCATCAGGTCATGTAGTTCAATACAAACTCATTCCATCTCTTGGAGGAGACCAGGCTGAGAGCAATACGCGAAATGGAGCAACTTCTGTACTGACCTCTGAAGAGGAACTGAGAGTGAAAGTTGAACCAGTTCAGTGTTGGGATGTCTGTCGAAGAGCTGATTGGCCAGAGAGAGAGGAGAACATATGCGGGCTTACTTATGGTGGACGAAAAAATGCTGAGTTAATTGTTGATAGCTCTGATAGTGAAGATCAAACAAAGCCTCTGGAGAAACACCATGTTTATCTTGCCAATGCAGAGGTGCTGATAAACTCCGGAAGAAAACCAATCTGGCAAAATTCAGAGGTGCCATCTACTTTTCTGTTTCCTTACGATCCACGATAAAACACGGTCTGGTCATGTCTTCTTACTATATAGAATGTACAATGGCTGACCCTCCCTTAAATTTTATAAATTCCAGATATCTTTCTATCCGATGTTTCCTCCAAACTCTGATGGCAAGAACCTGAATTCGCATCAAGGTGGCGGTGAGACAGAAATCGGGAAGGTATCTGCGAATGAGGTTGACATTAGGCGGAAGGATTTGCTGCCGGTGTATGATAATTTTCACAGTGTGTATACCAGTATGCGCAACAGGTAAGTTACCTCGCTAACTGCATCACATCTTATAAATTGCGTCTGTCAATGATCCAAATGGGAAGTGGTTCTTCTTATGCTTGCAGAGGATTTTCTGGGGAAAGAGATTCAGATTCTTCTTCTTCTTCTGATCCCGGACAAGTTAAAGAAATACATCCATTCAATGGTAATCAAATTTACTTTCTTATCGATGCATTATAACATTTGTCAAATCTTAAAACTGAATTTTTAGCAGGTATGGCTTACCCCGAGGATGTGGAAAGTAGAGGAAGTGCCCATTTTGCACTATCTCCAAACCAAAATCCTCATACCGGGATTGTAACATTTAAACAGCCTGTTGTTTCCATTTCTTCTGCTGTGAAAGACACTGATTATATAGACGATGATCATCTCTTGCCAAAGAACGCCTCCCTGCCCGCTGAAACAAGAATTGAAAACAGCAGCGGGATAAGTGGAGATTCAAATGTAAGTTCTAACCGTTCTGATATGAGCATGAATGCAGCTGACGAGGGTGAAGGACCCATTGATGGCTCCCCAAATTTCGAGCAGTTTTTCAAGGAGGTGATCTCCAATGAAACTGTTACAGAAACTGAGCATCAGGATGCTCCATCTGATCAAGGAAAACTCGATGAAGATGACGAGGATGACATGCTTGGTGGTGTTTTCGCTTTCTCCGAAGAAGGTAAGAAGAAGAATCCATCCCATAGCCGGTAACATTTTCGATAATATGAATCCTCTTCTTACGGTATTATCGCTATATCATCAACATTCTTGGATGTATTACAGGTTGAGTTTAGTTAAATCCATGGCCAAAGCTCTAATGGAGAAGGGTTCACTTGCTAATCCCGTTTGCTGCAACTTACTCACTGATGATCTTAATACCCTGAAAAAAAACATTTAAAATCAATTTCTTTTATCATCTGTTTCTGTAAATGCTTGTAAATGAATTGTTCATTATCAACAGTCTCTCGATTTCCATGGACTGTTTCTTTGTAATTGTTTTTTTTTCACGTGTAACTCTATTCATTCATCGAAAAAAAGAAAAAAAAAAAGGAAAAAAGCAGGCAAAAAAATAGAAATAAAGATTTATTTCGTTTGGTTTTTACTACTTGTGTATGCATTGTGTGTTTTCTTTGTTGCATTTTTCTGTTAATGTTTCTCTGCAGGGCTAGGAATGTTCTTAAGCTCGTTAACTCAGATATATATTTCTTAAAATCTTAATCAATTAAATGTTCATTTTAGCTAAATTTAGTTCTTTGAAAAAAAAATTTAGTTATTTTTGGTTTATACTGAAATACAAATTCAGTCTGAGAGCATCTTTAACTCTACTTTTTTTTTTCCTTTAAAAACTCTATTATAAAATGCATTTTCTTCAACCCCATTTTATATGATACTCTAAAATAGAGTAAATAATAGGATTGCTCTATATACAGAGTAACTCTATCTATTTTTTACCCTACCTTTATTTTAGAGTAACATATAGAGTAATACATTAGAGATAAATTATGCTTTATTTTAAAGTTACTCTAATTTAAAGGAAAAAATAGAAATTTACATTGGAAATAGTCTAACAGGATTCATATGTACAACTAATTTCTCTATGTTAGGGAAGAGATATGGGGTCATTCGTAGTGTGGTTTTTAGAGCAATAAACATCGGTCTTCCGACTATTCGGAATTAGACAAACTCAAAACACCCCTTGACTTGTACACAAAATCTATATTTCCAAACAAAATTTTTCAAGACCATACATTCCTTGAGAAACATTGGTCTCTTCCTCACAATCTATACAAAGAAACCCTAAAACATTTAACGTAAGAAATTCGGTCCCAATTAATGCCAACCACTGTTTGAGAGCACTGATATCTATTTATGCATGTAATCCAAAATTCTAATCCAATTTTTTTTTTTTGAAATTCTAATCCTAATATATTTTGAAGAAGTGAAATAACAAAATCATCATTCTTTTGTTGCAAGTTCAACAGTAGACGAGACAGATTCGTAAGATTTTTCAAAATAGCATGTAACAATTAAATTTCACATGTTGTATTGAACTGAAAGACATGAAATTTGAAAAAACGTAGTGACTTTTTAAGAAAAAACATTGTTGCGTAGTGTTTTTATAAGAAAAAAACATTGTTATGAAAAAATTTAACTTGAATAGAATCTTTTTTATTTTTTAAATCATATATGATCTTAATAAGAAAAAGTGTATTACAACAAAATAACATGATAAAGTGAGATATTAAACGGAATAGAATGTGATGTGCTCTTTCTAAATAACGTGCAATACGAGAAAAATAACATTATAAATGAGAGATATATTATGCTATCACATGTAATTCGAAGAAATCTATGACAAGTGTCCGATAAATTATTGTAGCATAGTGCTATTTTGTTAATTATCCACAAAAATTTGGTTATTTTGTGCATATTCTCTATTTTTATAATGAGTCTGAAATATTTTGTTAGTATTTTCTGTAGCACTTGACTCTTCTATACGATTGTTATGCTTTCACTCTTTTATGTCACTCGTCTGCTACACGTTCACTCTAAACCTCATTAATTGAACACTTTTTTAAAAAAATTCGATGTGAAAAAAACATTTTTTAAATTCTTATAAATATCTTTTTTCGTACAATTTTTTTAAAAAAATTTACAAATTGTAGCAGACGATATAAGATACTGTAAATTTTACTTACAAGTTACAACTGTAAGCAATAATAAAAAAAAAATACTTTCTCTGTCCCATAATATAGGATGTTTAAAAATATTTTTTTCGTTTCACTTTATAAGATACTAGATAAGGCCCGCCTAAATAGACGGGTGTAAGAAATAAATATAATTTTTTGATAAATTTTGAATTTTAAATAGTAATATACATTTTTTAATAATCTAATTTCTTTTAACCAAATTTCAACCTGACACATTCTATTTTTCAGATATAATTTAACTATTAATTTCTACACACTCCATCTTAATAGATAAGAGCTAAAAAATTTAATTTTACATACTCCATCTAATTGTTTTAGTTTTTTTTTAATGATATTTTAGTTTCAAATAGAAATCCACACTTTTTTCTATATTAATGTTCTAACTCTCATCTCAATTTATCTACTCTATCTAAACATCCTTAAGTCATGTAAAATATTTTTTTAAAACTAAATTATTACTATAATGTGAGTTAAACTTTAGATATCAATAACTTGTTCTACATGTCTTACTCGAACATGACTATACTTAATTCTCAATCATCTTTGATACTACTGAGTTGTTCCATCACAATATTTATCTATGCATCTCAACATTTTATGTATTTTGTTACATCTATATTTTACAGTTATCTTAACAAAATAAAATCGAAAAAATATACGAAAAACATATTTGAAAGGGTCCCTATTTCAAAAACCAAGTTATATTCTTATTATAAACTAATAATGTTTCTTTTTTATGTTTCCTTTTTTCGATAGGATTAGGAAATTTTCTATTTTCGTTTTTTAATATATTAACAAAATTAGATTTGATACGTGTCGATATCTCATTAATAAACTTGACACGTGGCACGGTCCTATGAGTTATTAACTTTGAAAATCATACTTTATATAATAAGATTTCACAAAATTTTATGCATATTTTAATATTATTTGATATTTTTGACTTTTCAAATTCGACAATCTTTTTGGTTATTGGTTAAATTTTATTTTCAACTAATTATTAAATGATACTTTACTATTTAAAATAGTTTCTTAATCTCAGCGCTTTTATCTCAAACATTTTATAATTTGAACAAAAGGGATAGTAATTTTTTATTTATTCGGTCATCATCGTCGGTTTTTCCTTGCTTTTTTGTATTTAAAAAAAAAAAAATTAAAAAAAAAAAAAGATATCACCGACTTGTTGGAAAGTGGCGGAAAAAAAAAAAAAGACCCGCGAGAACTATATCAATGGTGCCACGCTGGCAATCCGCGTGATTCATGATTAACCAATCAAAATCCATTATCACAACACTATATATACCAGAAATCACCACCAAAGCCCTAAAGCACAAAACTCAGCCTTCTCTACTCATTTTTCAATCGCCTCTTCAATTTATCGATAAAGAAAAGATGAGTTCCGGCGCCGGCAGTGGAACAACCAAAGGCGGCAGAGGAAAGCCAAAGGCTACAAAGTCCGTTTCTCGATCGTCTAAAGCTGGTCTTCAGTTTCCCGTTGGAAGAATCGCTAGATTCCTTAAAGCCGGAAAATACGCTGAACGTGTTGGTGCCGGTGCTCCTGTTTATCTCTCCGCCGTGCTCGAGTACCTCGCTGCTGAGGTAACAAACGATCTTGATCTCTGATTTTGTTGATTTTGATTTGAATTGTGCAATCGAGTTTCGTCGTTAGTCAATTGCTTGCTCTCTATGGGAATTGAAAATCACTAGAAGTTTGATAATCTATCGATTTCTCGATTTTTGCTGAATGATTATGATCAACTTGATACCGATAATCGGCCTCTGCTTAACCGATTCGATGTTAAGGTGGTTGCTAGAGTCTGATCTTTATATGATGATAGGTATTGGAGCTAGCTGGAAATGCAGCAAGAGATAACAAGAAGACGCGTATCGTACCACGACACATTCAGCTTGCAGTGAGAAACGATGAAGAGCTTAGTAAACTTCTTGGAAGTGTAACAATTGCTAATGGAGGTGTTTTGCCTAACATTCATCAGACACTTCTCCCATCAAAGGTTGGAAAGAACAAAGGCGAAATCGGATCCGCGTCTCAAGAGTTTTGATTCTTTTTAGTTTTACTCTCTTTGTTGAATGAATTTTTAGCTTGTAACATAGACATGGCTCTCTGTTCCACAATTTAGTTATGGGATTTTATGATACTCAAAATCTGTGTTTGCAAATCCAGTAATGAATTTGGTTTGGATCATATTTAGTACATCGGTAAGAACAGAAAGAGTCAAATTTGATGTCTAGAAATAGCAGATTCAATTGCTTCAATACAAGCACTAATAGGTTTGGCTTTAGCCATGGCTTCTGCAAGCAAATCTCTTGCTTCTTTGTGAGAGTGTATTAGTGAGACAGTGTTTGAAACAGCCCATCGTATATGAGCCTCCTTTTCTGTTTCTGTGAACCCGAGCCACTGCAGAACGTTGTTTAACTGCAGCAACATCAAATTTCATAAAACATTAGAAGATTATATAGTCTCACACTGCAAACTAGAAGAGGCTTGGGTTTGCACAAACCTTGACAATATCTGAGTAGAAACCTTCCGAGTATCCGAATTGTAAATGTTCAGCTACCATTCCTCCAAGTATCACGCATGAGAAGTTGTTCAGTGTCTGCAATTCACAGATCCAACCACTCACTACAGAAACAGCTTGAGTGAAACAATGATCCACTACAGGTAAGTGTGAGAAAATCTTACCTTGGAAGAGATATTGCCTTGAGTATCCTACATTGTACAAAAAAAAGTATTTGAGTTAAGAAGATACACGAGAGATACTATGTTATGTATGTAAGTAAAAGACATACCGAAAGATTCATTCGGCCGTGGACATTATCTTTCATAAGCTGGTTTGCAGCACCGACCTGCGGTAAAAACATAAACTATAATGGTTGGGAGTTGGGACATTATCGAGCTGACACCATTTGAAAGCTCGACGAAGAACAAACAAAACCACTTACTTGTTTGAGGAACTCAAAACCCACAAATTCTACTCTCCCGGTCACACACGACACATTCTGCCTTACAGCTTCCAAGGTTGGTATTTCATAGTATCTTGGAAGAACTCCAAGCAAGTAACCAACAAGAAAATGCCCAGATTCATGCTGCATACGTTGCAAACAAGTTACGTTTGCCATAAAGATACACCACAAAAAGTCCTATTTGATTGATATGATCTCATCACCAAACAACAATTGTGATAAAATTTCTTCAATCATAACTTTGCAACAATGTTAAGTTATAGTTAACAAGTACAAGAATTCTCACCTGAACAACAGCAACCCAATCTTCTTCAGGTGAAGTTTTAGTTTCCTCCTCTTTGGACATTCTCACTGAATCCTACAAATTAGTAAAAAACTTCACAGTATTTGCTTTGAAGGTGTATTGAAACTACATGTGTCCAAAATTGAAAGTACCTCTTGGACATAAACAGATTCAATGCTTCTAGAGACCGAATCAATCAACGACCAAAGATCACTTTTGCTACTCATATCTAATTTCTTCGGAAGCTAATCAAACAAAGAAAATAAGGAACAAGACATGAATTAATGAAAATAAGCATGAGAAAGAGATAAGAGAGACCGACCAATTTAGCAGAGCCAAAAGCAGATAAGCAGCCATGTTTGCTCTTGAGTTGCTTGACGAGAGAGAGAGCAGTTTCGTAATTGCCTCTTAAGAGTTCTTTATTCACTCTCTCCAGTGATCTCCGGCGGCGGTCCACCGGAGATTTCGCTCCGAGTACCATCACGCGGCTCGCTTGGAGATAAGAAGAGTTCATCATATTGGTTTGGTTTTTTGAATTTAGGAAGAATGAAACATTGTAACTCAACAATTGGGGATGTAGCTCAAATGGTAGAGCGCTCGCTTTGCATGCGAGAGGCACGGGGTTCGATCCCCCGCATCTCCATATTTTTGGACAATTTTTTTTTTGTCATTTGGTAGAAATTTTATTAGCAATTCGGAAAACCAAAATACAAAGTCGGCGACTAACAACATAATCCCGTAAACTAAGCCAGCGGAAAACAAACATATTCTCGAAAACTAAGCCGGCGGTTAACAACACAACCCCGAAAACTATGTCCAAAGACATGAAAAACTGTTTAACTAACACCAAAATGCAATGCAAACCAAAACAAACAAAGACAACAAAGACAAAAACTAAAACACAGGACATCAAACAAAGAAAAATCGGAATCTAACCACACCACAACTTCAACCGCAAAGCCTAAAGAGAGGAGAGCCTTCCACTAATGTCACTAGACCGGCCCGCCACACATACCCAAGACACATGGGTATTGGGCCTCCAAAATTTTTAAGATTTTTAGTAACAATATTAGGCCTCAAAATAATTTGTTATTACAAAAATAGACCTCATTTTTTCGAAATGTTTAGATTTTGTTTCAAATTATAAATTTTATCTATTTGTTATTGCAAAAACAGACTTCATTTTTCTGAAATTTTAAGATTTAGTCTCAAGTTTTAACTTTATCGATAAAACCCATAAAAAAAATTATTTTGTATTGGGCCTCATATTTAACTGGGCCGGCACTGAATGTTACCGAAAGGGATGAAAATTCCAACTAACGGAGAACGATTCCACCTATAGCGGATGAAGACTACCACATACAGCAAGATTTCTGAAGAAATCCGAACGGCAAGACGGGAACGGCAAGAACTCACATTTATACCAAATTTTTTTTTTGCTATATTAGCAAATTTAATTTAATTCCAGGCATGTTCAATATTAATAAACCAACCCGTGCAAAGACACAAATTCGACTCAAAAGCCAAATCAAAATTTTTTTCTTGGTATGATTTAAATGGATTCTTTATTTCTATATCCAAAAATTTGAATATGATCCAAAACCTAACTGAAAAATATATTTGACTAAAATCTGAATTCGAACGGATACTAAAACCATACAAAATCATCTACTTGTATATTACGTTTAGTTTACATATAATTTTATAATATTATTCATAAAATAAAAAATCAAATTTGGTTCGAAAACTAAAATTACAAATGACTGAAATCCGAAGAAAACCAAAACGGGAAAAATGTCGTTAAAATCCCCAATTTATTCAAATCGTTGATTTAAATCCTCAACTCATGACGAAACGAAATAAATATCAAACTTATGTTGACTTTCCAAATAAATATCAAACTTATGTTGACTTTCCAAATAAATATCAAACTTCCGTTGACCAGGCCATATTAGGTACGACGTTAAGTGGGTTAATAAATCTCGTTAACGGAGTTAATTTTCTATTAACATACATGTTAATTGATAACGACATTGTTTCATATAACAACAAAACGACGTCGTTTTGTCGTAACGATTGAATTAAATTCCTAAAGTCAATCTTAGATCCCCAAATTGAGCAAAATTCCTAACCCTAAATCTTCATATGATTTGAAACTCGGGATTTTATTGAGCAGTTACGACAAAACAACGTCGTTTTATGTTTAGAAGGAATACTGTCATTTTTAAATAGCGGGTCTGTTAACAGAAAATTAATCCCGTTAACATGGTCTGTTAACTCACTTAACGTCATGCCTAATATAGTAAAGTCAATGAAAGTTTGGTGTTTATTTGGACAGTCAACATAAGTTTAATATTTATTTGGAAAGTCAACATAAGTTTGATATTTATTTCGTTTCGTCGTGAGTTGAGGATTTAAATCAACGTTTTGAATAAGTTAGAGGATTTTAATGACATTTTTTCCAAACCAAAACCATATCAAACTATGTATTGTTGTTATTCATGAACCGGAAATTTGAAAAACCAAAATCTTCAAACCAAACCGAATCAGAAGCTGAATTGAACACCCAAACCCTAATAAAAAAGTATAAAACGTTTGACTTTCAATCAAACCGTGTTTACCGGTTTCTAAAATATCCGGTTTGGCGTGGTTTTGTCCGGTTCGTATAATCTCAAAAGAGAGAAGCAGACATTGAAACCTTGAATCAACAGCAATGGAGAAAAGAGACGAAGCAGGAGAGTATCATTCCAAAGATTTCGAATGGGAATTTCTTCAGAACATCGTCGAGAACGATCCTTCTCTCTCCCACCATCTCCACCACCACCACCAAGATTTCTCTAAATATTCACCAAATTCGCAGCCATGGCAAGATTTTCACTCCCGTCACTCCTCCGGCAAATTCTTCAAGGTTCACACACATCACTACTCTAGGTTTTGAAATCAACTCTTATCAGTTACAATCGAAGAAAGCTTGAGTTAGTAGTAGACAAACTTGCTTCTGAATTTTTGACAATGTAGAGAGATTGGTAATGTTTTATCATATATGAAGATTGATCTTAGGTTTTGTGTAAGAATGATTTTATTCGTCTTGATTCGCCGTCGCCGGTTTTCGTGTAGGAAAGAAGGTATTTGTTGAAGGAATTCCCTGAGTTAGTTTCTTGTGGAGAGAACTCAAAACTTTTGGAAATTGGTTGTGGTAATGGCAGTACTGTGCTTCCGATTTTACGGTATAATTCTTTCGATCTTCATTTGCAGTTTTGCGGTATTATTCTTCCGATTTCGCCTTTTCACTGCTAATCTTTATGTTGTTATTCTTATGTACATTGTATCTGTTTTTATCTTTGCTTTTGTGCAGTGGAAGCAAGAACATTACTGTATATGCTTGTGATTGTAGTAGCGAGGCTCTTGTTAGGACTAAAGAGAACATTGACCGCGCTATTGATAAAGTTGATAATTTCCGTTCTTTCTGTTGTGACTTTTCGACGTCTGAGTTTCCTAATTGGGTGGCATGTGATCGTTGTCGAGACAAGCTTATGGTTAACCATTCAGGTTTATGGTCCTTCTCCACCAATTCATTCATCCTACATAAGATACACATTGATCTCTCATACACGTCTTGCTAATCTTGTATGTCTTATATATCTTCTTCATTAATAGGAGGGAGCGAAGGCATGCAGGTTAACTATAAATGTTTATTGAATGAACATTGCATCGGCGGGGTGGATTTTGTCACTCTGGTATGTAAACATCGCTCTTTTAGTTAAGACCAAACAGTGTGCTCATTGCAGGAAACAGTAATGCTAATGTTTCTGCAGTGGAACTAGATTAATGGTCGTCTCATGATTTTTATAATGTAGTGACAAGATGGATTTTAAACTAAAGTTTATGGCGAATATATATCTATCTTTCATGTTCTATCATCTAATGCTTAGCTATTAGGCTCTTTCCAGATAGCTATTGAAACTCGGATTTTCCAACTTTTTATGTTTTGTCAGATATTTACATTGTCGGCAGTGCCTAAAGAAAGGATGCCGAGAGCTATCAAGGAATGTTTTTCTGTGCTCAAACCGGGTGGTCTGCTCTTGTTCAGAGATTACGGTAATTGTTTAATCAGCATGAAAGGTCTACCAATAAAGAGAAACTAATAGGCTAAACACTTTGACAAATATTCAGGCTTATATGACATGACTATGCTACGGTTTGAGCCAGAGAAACGTGTAGGATTTAGGGAATATGTGCGGTCAGATGGAACCCTTTCCTATTTCTTTTGTCTCGACACTGCCAGGAAACTATTTACAGATGCTGGTTTCATTGAGGTAAACCTTCTTGTTCCTATTCTTTGTTGTGATTGAATGAATAGCAAACTTTTAGTGTTCTGATTCTCGTATACAGGTTGAGCTTGAATATTGTTGTGTCAAAGCAGTAAACCGGAGAAAGGGTAAGAACATGTACCGAGTTTGGGTTCATGGGAAGTTCCAAAAGCCCTTCTAAATTAAGTTGAAAGGCAATCTTCTATCTGTGAACATTGCAGAGTCTAGTTTTTGGATTATCTTTCTTCATTGATCCTCTCATACTAAGTTCGCGTTCTTTGTTCTCTAATCTTGATATTTTTATAAGCAATTCCTGTAATTGTAACCTCACTTGTTCATATACTCAAAACCATAATCATAAGACATTATTCAAAGCATTGCAGTGCAAAACTAAACTAGTTTTGTGTAGTGTAAGAGTTAAATCATATTCTTTAGATCTAATACTTTTTCTTATGAAATAATCTTTGAGTTTCATTTCTCTTCTTCAAGCAATCCACAACGTTCATGAAACTAATGTTGATTTGGAGTTTTGAGAATCTATAAATTTAATTCTTAAGAAACCACAACACCGCAACTGTTAAGATTTTAGTGTCTTGTGATTTTATTTCAATAAAAGAAAAGCAAAAATATCAAACTTTCAACAAGAGCTTATATAAACAAATTCGAACCATACCTCCAAATTCACCCATCGCTAGGTCACGAATCAAATTTGTCAAGTATATAAAGAATTGAGAAATTTGATAAGACAAAAATCATTAAAAATGTATTATGGATTTCTTTGTTTTTAATATACAGACAAAATATCTATATAATTCAAAAATCTATTTCCAAATTTTAGTTAAAATTACTATATTATTCATAATTTCAATTAACAAACAAATGAAGCAAATCAAGTAAAGAATTATATAGAATGACGGACAAAAGTAACAAATCAATTATAATAATACCTCTATAAATTAATATTCGGTAAATGAATAATTTTTGTAACATAATAAAATTATTTGCAGGTCCAAGTTAGACCAATGTAAAAAAAAAAAAAATTGATTAAATAATAAGATAATCCTATACTATTATTTGGGGAGTACAATTTATGGATTACCCTTAATTAACCTTCTCCTTTGTAAGAATTTACTTAAGAATGCCATTAGAAATAAAATTTTATAGAGTAAATTAATTCAACTCATTAAGGTTAAACAAGTCAAATACTATTTTATGCAATTTAATTAATTTAATTTAATTATAAAAACGAAAATCTATTATTAATTTCTTTAAAAAGAATGACCAATCAAAATGAACATATAAGATTTGATATCTAACTTACCATATTAATTTGTTATTAATCATTATACTTCACCTCTCATCTTTATATGATTCTATTTCTATAAATAAATAAATCATTATATCATCTATATAATAAAAAAAAAGTAATTTTTTTTCCGCATATACCAAAATTTGAATTTTTAAAAACGAATATAAATTATTCAATGTATGAAAGAACAAATTTAACGGGTCAAAAATTCATATTTGAGTAATATATTCCTTTTTTTTTAATATCATCAATACTTAATAGATCAAAAATTTATGAAGTATAAATACTCTAATTTGATTTTTTGAAACAAATATTTATAATAGGCGGCGGGTTGAATATAATATATTATATGATGAAATGAGTTATGATCCTTATAACTATTTGAATATTTATATTTAATTTCGTATAATTTTCTTAAAATTCATAATTTTACATAATACAATAAATTTTTTTAAAGATTTTAATTTGGAACATTTTAAAATAGTTTAATTTAATATATTAAAGAATATCATAAATATTTAATAGATTAAAAAGATAAAAAAAATTATAAATACAATAATTTGTTTTTCTAAAAAGATATGTTTAAAATATTTATAGTAGGCGGCGGGTTAAATGTAATGTATTATATGGTAGAAAATTATGATCCTTATAACAGACGACATTTTAAGATTTTATGATGAGATGAGTTAAATAAAGTTTGACACTTCTAAATATTTGAAAATTTGATTCTGCAAGCAATTTTGAAAATAATAAATAATAGATTGTACCGCAATATTTTCATACGGATTGTAAAATGAAAATATAGACTCCACACACAGATTGAATTTGGTATTATTATATACCAAATATATGTTCATAACATATTTGATTATGTGAATAATTGGTAAATTCCGTAATTAGCTCAAACAAATATTTATTTCAACAACCAATGAATCAAAATTTGAAAAAATAATTTCCTAAATTAATTCAAAATAATAGCTAATTTTCTTAAGTAATTCAAAATAATCTACGTTTTAGATGCGATTCATTTATGATATTTTGATTTTGGATCTAACTAAATTATATGCACTCTCATTTTGTGGTTGTTAACATAAATTAACTCATTGTTCAAACAATATTAATTTTTTTTAAATAATCTTATTTTCCGTTTTCATATCTTAAAAAAAATATCCATAATTGAATACTATAGAAAAATGAAAATATATTCATTCTAATATTATACATAGGGACTGACAAAAAAATATTATTTTTTTCACTTACTATTATAATATATCACAACTTTATTTTAAAACATAAAATTTATAAATTTTGTAATAAATGAAATTCAACCCGTACTGTAGTACGGGTGATGATCTAGTAGTATTATATTTAATGAAGAATGTCTCTCGTGAGATTGAATTTAAAGATTGAATTTGCTTATGTAGCAGTGTATTTTATGTATATAGATTTCAGACTCTAAAACCAATTAAAAAGCAATAACTAAAGCATTAGTTAACTATATAAGCACGCCCTCGACAATAATACATTAGCAATCTATAAAATGACTTGTTGTTCATAGTCATAAGAATATCTATCCTTTTATTCTCGATTTTCACCAAAATATATATCTGTTTTGATCAATTTTCCCATGTCGAATCAACAATCATCACATCTCATTTCATTGCACAAAGATGGTTTATACCTTCTCAACCTCAACGGAACCACCTTGTCAAAACTTAACTTGCCGTTTACATTACCGGACAAAACCGAACCGGCATGTATCCTTCATTGTCGTGGAATGATGTGTCTGACTCTTAAAGACAACAATGACCTAGCAATTTGGAAACCAGGTTCGGATGAATTCAAGAGAATACCAATGGTTATACGCAGCCAAACCACAAATCTTTTGGGATTTGGATATGACCGGATTTCTGATGATTACAAGATCGTGACGATAATTGGTTTCAAAACATATATCTATGCGTTCAAAGAAAGTTGTTGGAGAGAAAGTGTACGAGAAACTTCTCTTCATTGCAAATTCAAAGACCGGACCGGGACGGTTGTGGATCATTGTATGTATTGGATAGCAGACAGGTCTCACACCAAAAACCCCCGTAGGAAAAACACCATCCTGTGTTTCGATTTCGCGAAGGAAGAGTACCAAGAGCTATCATCTCCGATGTACGCGGAGTCGAAATTCAGTTCATGGTTAGGGGTTTTAAGAGGAGAGCTATGTGTTATCGATCATTACCCATGTCTAAATAATGACATTTGTCTATGGCGCCCGCAAAGAAAAGGCAAGAAGATCATGCATTGGAATCTCGACCCGTGGACCGTGAATGAAAATGTTAAAGCGTTCAACATTTTTAATGTTAAAAGATTCAAAAAATTTGATGTTGGTTTTGCGTGTATAGCAAGAAACGAAGAACTCTTCATAGTGGTGAATGGTAATGGAAAAGGAGAAGACAAGTTTATGGTGTATAACGAGAGGCAAGACGAGTTTACTGAAGTTCCAATTGGTTGTTCTTTGGAAGGGTTTAGATGTATGAGTATATATGACAATCGTTTCTAGTTATGTCAAGATTAAGCAGATAATAGATTGGTTCTAAATAATTATAAGGAAAAATTAGAAATATCTTATGGTTATTTCATTCAATTTGAAAAGATAAATTGTATATATATGATCCTCTAAGAAAATTAATTTGTGTTGTTTTATATACAGAAATGAATCAATGATATCTCGAACGCTCAAAAAATATTCCATTATATATGGTGGACATTTTAGTGACACACATGAAAACAGAAAACCTAATAACATCAAATGTAGTAACATATTAAAAATGTTTGATGTCTTGTAGGATCTTCTAATTAATAACATAAATAAATAAAAAAAATTTAATCGTAAACTCTTTCCCTCATGATCGGTAAAAGAGTTTTTAATCGTAAACTCTTTCCCTCATGATCGTAAAATACTGTTAAATCATAAAACATACTATCCTCATTATTTTATTGTTTAGACATAATGCATACAAATTAAAAAAAATGACAAATATATACCATAACCTCATGTAATTGAATTGATGATTTTAGAAATTCATTCAAAATCATGCGGTTATTGGATTAGGAAATACTTCAACTAACTTTCAGATTATATTAAAGTTTAGTGTTATTGATTGGTCGACTTAAAAATTTTTTGTTCATTTGAAACGATTTTTAATGATATCCAAAATTAGAGATGATAATGTGATATTCTACAAAAAAATCTCTGTGAATTTGTTAAATCTTTTATAAATTCTCTAAAAATTTGTTAAATTCTACAATCATTATAATCATCTTAATTCTAAATTAATCACAATCAAATAACATTCCCTAAGTTAATAGCCATTTGACCGAATAAAATGATCAAAACATTATTAGAATAAGTAAATATTCTCTATTTCATATTTCATGCCTCTTTTAAATATATAGTTCTCTTTTCATCTTTTTCTGGTTCATGTCTCTTCCCACGAACTATATCAACCTTGTAACGTATGACATGACTTGAATTTTTTTTCAATAAGCAAAAATTCTTGAAAAATATAATGCACAGAAGTTAAGAGAAATATATGCATTATTTTTTTTTGTGGAGCACAAAAGCAACTAAATCCATTAAGCTTTGAGAAAGATTTTTTTCCACATAAAGACGGTTTAAGAGTCGCAAGCTTATACATTAGAAAATCTACCTTTATGTACGAGTCTTTTTGGAAAACTTATACACATAAAAATTATTACATGTAATAAAGTAATTTTAAAAATTTAAAGTTTTCGAATTTCTCAACGAAAGAATACCCGAAGTTGGAAGAAGAGATTACCAACAAGATGACTCTTTCAAACCTCAAAATATTAAAGATGTTCATACTAAAAATCAGAAAAAGGGATTACCAACAAAACTTGGAAACCTAAATTCTTGCAATCTGTTTAACAAAACATTGGTTAGAGAAACTAAAATAAGATTCTAATTCCAATTCTCCATGAAACAAAAATGATACATTAATCTATTCAAATAAACATAACTTTCTTTTTCTAATTATTACTTTAGAAAGTTGTTTTGAAATTCCTTTATTATAATTCCAATAAAAATCTTAAATGTTATATTTTGTTTGTAAGAAAAAAACAATATTAAGATATATTTTGGATTTTTTTCCAAAATTGATTTTCTTTACCTGCATCTGCCAAATCACCCACCTCACCTGACTTGTCTGTCTGCGTTCTCATTGGAATCTCAGAAAGTTTTTTTTTTTTTTTTTTTTTTTGTTAAAACTATAAAATAAAAAACCTTCCCACTTGGTTTCTTCACTGTGTCTCACATCTCTTCGTCTTCTCCGCCTCCTCCAATCTCACTCCGATCTCTCTAATCTTCAATGGCTTCCATTGCTGCTTCTTCTTCTACTTCTCTGCTAGCTCGTCCTCGCCAACTGGTCTCTCTCTCTTCCTCTTCTTTACTCGAATCTCATCTTTTTTTACAGAGTTTTTGCCGTAATTTATCCCATTTTGGTATAGATCTGATATGATTGATCTCGATCTAGTTGCTGTTCTTCTTCAATGGTAGATCTAATTGCAGAATCATTAGCTCAGCTCTAGATCGACTTGTTGAAATCGCTCTATGATTCATCTTTTGTTTGCATTGAGGGAATTTTAGGTATTTGGCTCTGCAGGAAATTTTACTCTTATCGATCTGATGAATCTGTTTTACTTAGCTCCGTCAAATCACCTGAATAATTGTCTGTTCTCGTCGAACTGAATTTTCGTTGTTACATTTGAATTTGCATAGACTATAACTTTTGTAAGAGCATGCGGGAACAGTGAATCAAGGATTACTTCTTACATAAAATTTAGTTGCTTCTTTGGTATTCAAGAAACCGAGAAGCTTGTTCCTTCTCGCAGATTGTTTCGTTATTTTTCATTTCGAGTTTCAACTTTGTACTGATAATGGGAAGTTATTCGAATATGATGGCAGGCGATTGCGGCTAATCAAGTTAAATGCTTTAGCTATGGAAGAAGAACCAATCTTTCTTTTAATCTCCGCCAGCTTCCTACCCGCTTGAGTGTTTCCTGCGCTGTAAGACCTCTTTGTCTCTTATCTCTTAGTAGAAGTTTTGTTTTTGCTATTCCAATTTGAATGCTCGAGCCAATTCAACATTTGCAATCAATGTGATTAGGCTTCTATCGTACGCTTGATTGATTTCTTTCTTGGTTTTTGATTGTTGGTAAATAGGCAAAACCTGAGACAGTGGAGAAGGTGTGTGCAGTTGTCAGAAAGCAACTCTCACTTAAAGAGGAAGACGAAGTTACCGCTGCCACCAAATTTCTTGCACTTGGTGCTGATTCTCTTGACACGGTAACTTAACAACCTTCTCATGTCTAATATCCGTTTGCTCATTGGATTCAACTTTTGTTATTTATGCTTAATCAATGTCTCTTGAAAATTGTATTCTGCTTTCAAGCTCATATTGTCTCACCGATTGTAAGTCTTGTGAAGGGTCGCTGCGTTTCCTTATACACACCTCTTTAGTGTTTATATTGTTATCGATGTGCACATACTCATGACTCTTGTGTTCAGGTGGAGATTGTGATGGGACTAGAGGAAGAGTTTGGGATTGAAATGGCGGAGGAGAAAGCACAGTCAATCGCAACAGTTGAGCAAGCAGCTGAGCTCATTGAGGAGCTCTTGTTGGAAAAGGCCAAGTAGAAAATCCTTTATTACATTAGCAAAAACTACAAAACCAAAACCCAAACCATTATCTTCTTATTGTTTGGTTAGCTAGAGAGCAATTATGTCTGTTGAGATTTTATGCTATATTTTGGGAAACTTATTACAAGGCTTGTATTTGACTTATCTTTTTTTTTTTTGTCGAAAGTATTTGACTTATCTTTCTTCTAAAACATTTGTATTTCCACCTTCAAAAAACTTTTACTTTCTGGTATGCAAACATTAGTTTTCAATAAAACGACCTCGTACTTGTTCACATTCTAGTTTGATGAAGAAACTTGATAACTTGCCCAATGTTTGATTCCACAACCAAAATGATGTAATGCATCTTATGTATCTGCATAATTATTAGTTTAGTTGTCAAATACTCGAAAGTTTCTCTCCAAAACTTCTATCAGTCACAATAATTCCGAAGTCACTTGTCATAATCTTTCCATCGGAAAAAACATCTAACATTTTATAAATATTTGAATTTATATATACAATAATTGAGTATGAAGTAGAGTTCTTATTTTCTACTGTTGAAAAATTAGCAGAAATGAAAGATAAAACAAAATGTGAACCAAACTTTTGTTTGTTTCAAGTAATTCAGAACGGCATATAACTAGATAAATGCAGATGGAGTTAAATGATTCTTTGTTTTGGAAAGTATTTGTTAAATAATATAATGAAAGATTTGAGTGCTTTAAATATTTTTGTTTCATTATAATCTTGGAGTTTTGTTGTCCTAAGGCTCCAAAATTCAGAGGAAGGGCTATGAAAAATCATTTCAAACAATATTAGAGATATCATCGAAATGTCTAGAGAAAAATTGACCACAAAAGAAGGCAACGAAGTAAACGGAGTGGTAACGCATGACATGAGTCATCTAAAAAAAGCATGTGTTTGAATAACACTCTCATGTTACAAGACTTTTGTTTGCTTATAAACAGGATCACAAGTTACTATAACTATTCAATCTATTACCTCTTATGATTTGCTACCTAAGAAGAAAAAAAACAATGAAGTTCTTGATTTACCTCGTTGTGTTTGTTCTTCTTTTCAATGGTTTGACGGCCAACAGAGTGGAAAATTCTCTGGTTCAGAAATATTGCAATCAAAGTTCACAGTACGGAGAACGATATTTCTATAAGTTTTGCATTGCGTCTCTCGAAGAGAATGTGGAAAGTCAGAAAGCAAGAAATACCGATGATTTAACATTGATAGGAACGAATAACGCTTTATCAAACCTAACAAATGTGAAAAGAATTGTGGAGAAGATTCTAAACGAGAGGAAATATAAGAGCATGCTGAGTAAGAAGTTGTTGCAAAATTGCCTTAAGCTTTACTCTGAAGGCTATGACGCGTTAACCTCAGCTTTGAAGTACATCAAAGTGCACGATTTGCTTAAACTTTCGTTTCGTTTGAAGAAAGCAAAAGAAGCACCAAGCATTTGCGAAATGGGATTCAACGGCGACAACCAACAAATATCTCCAGTGAAGAAAGAAAACGATATTCTCTTCGACGTGATCAACATTCCTTACATGTTTAATTTTAATAGACATCGTTAGATTAGCGCCTAAAAAAGAATAGGAGGCATGCATGATTTATATTTTAATTAAAAATATGAAAGACAAGATTAAATCTGTTAATCAAAATGGTGTTAATTTGTTTTGTGTGTGTGTTTGTGGTGTATGTGTGTTAAGAATGTTTTGTTTAGTTCTTATAATCAACATTATAATTACGGTTTAAATGTAAAAGATTATTTTTCATGGATTAACTCATAGAATATCCAATTCGTATCATTTGCATATTATTATTTTTGATAAAAGCAAATATCTTTGCTATCTATTACAAAAGTATATAGATCAAATAAATAAATATAAAAATACCTAGGATTTATAAATTATTTTCTAAGAAACATTAAAATTCATAAAAAGTTTCATAGAAATATTGATATTATTTTAATGTTTATATTTTTCATTTTATAAGTGAAACATAAAAAGCACATCATTCACTCCTTTGATTTAATAATAATTTCAAAAATTTTTATATCAACTGTCAAATAATGTGTTGGGATATTACTTAGCCAAATATCCTAAGAAGCTTCTAGCCAAATTTATTTTTGGGGTAGTTAGCCAAATTTATTTTGAAATAAACTGTCAAATAAAATTTTAAACTCCATGAATTATGATTTATATAGTAACGCTCCGACCGCCACTGTTCATTGGTCCTCACGTCTACTCTCGGTGTGTAAACCTCACCCTTGTCACATGATTGATGCAGTACTCCAAAAAGTTTGACTTATTTAGTGATACGACAAACACTACAAAAAGGATGTCTTGTATCACTTATTTTGTATATTTGCATCAGTTATAATTGATGTAAGGTATTTTTACATCACTTTAATAAATGACTCTAAAAGTGGTGATGCCAATATTTTGCATCAGTTGAAATAAATATTTGCATTGATTATTGTAATCGATTTTAATATGCATCAGTCGGCAAAAGTGATGTTAATTTTGCATCAGTTACTACAACTGATGTTAATTTTGCATCAGTTACTACAACTGATGTTAATTATCATCAGTTGATGCTACCTAGTTGTATTATTTGGTTATAACTGATATTAATTGGCATTACATCACTTGTAAACAATTGATACTACAATTAGTTAATTTTCATAAGTAAATTTAATTAATTAAAATTAAAATATTATTAAATGATAATATGTAAACAAGTTAACTACTATTTATTATTTAATTAAAATAAATATGCTCAAATAATTACTTGGTGCGATGAGATTTTTATTCATCTAAGCCTTTTATAAACTTATTCTAAAATGATGTAGTTGTTTTCTACAGAAGTAATCTATCTCCTCTCAGATTGTTTTGTCGATGTCAAACTTTAAAATAAAATTGAAATTGCATCAATATTCGTAATTTGAGTTGCATAAAATAGTAAATGATGTAAACTTTCTATCATTTGAACAATTGATGCCAATTTTTATTGGGTAAATTTGTACAATAGACTGTTTTGTTTAGAGTAATTAGCGAAATAGAGAGTATATTATTTACAATTTGCTCTAGAGAGATTGCGAGGGAGTGAGAGAGAGAAAGAGAGAGATACAAAGATAGAGAGGTGTAGAGATGACAAAAGAGGTATAAGAGAACTGATGATGACATGAGTTCAAACCATACCAAAGTTGCCCGAGTTCTGACTATGTATCATCCTCCTAGAACAAGGTCTGGTACAAAGACAATGCAGGAAGAATTTAACAAAGATGTGGAGAGTTTGATAAACTATAGAAAAATGGAGAACACTATCACACAATTCGATAATATCACTATTTGTAGCAATAAAACAAAGCCAAATGAGCAACAAACTAAGGTTAAGAGTCTAGACTTAAGTGTTGGCCTAAGCTTTTGTGAACCAACAAGTGAAAGGCCTCTTCTCAAGACAAGTCAAGCCCAAGTTCTCTTTGTCATCACTCCAAACGACGCTACTTAAGGAAACGTACGTAGAAGACATTCCAAGGCCGAGAGCTTCCTCCCCAAGCTAAGGTATGCGTTTAAATCTTTTCAATTAAATGTCAAGTTTCCTTTTCTTTTGCACGTTGATTCAAAATTATTCTAGGTTCATTTTGTCATTTATTTCACAATTCTTTGTTGCATTTTCTTCTCTTTTTCAAGATCCTAGAAAGTCAAGGCTGTCGACATATTAATAAGGACCATTGCAGGAACTGTAGCTCATTGTAGATCTTATCAGCTCCTTGATCTTATATCAAGAACATAGAGAGATGGATGTAGATATATGAGCATTGGAAAAAACTATGTAAAATATAGATATTTTCATACAAATGAGTGTTTTGTAAGGTATGTGGCCCAACATTTTTAGGGCCGGTTTTGTGTTTTTACGAGTGGAAGAGCGAGTAAAAATAGTATTCATTTTGAATGATTCCTATAGATTTTCTCATACTGTACTTACACTTTATTTAGATTAACACTTTTTCAGTCCTTATCTTTTGCGGTGAATGGAGCTAGAGGCCTAACAAAATTGATAAACTTCAACTCCAAATTTTGCCACCACTTTTACAATATTTGTTTAAATATCCATTACATTCTTTACAACTGTTGAATATTTTTTTAACATATCAACTATATCTAGTCTAATGAAATAATTTAATTTTCTAATAATTAGAAAATGCCACAATGAATTTATTTATTTTTTCTGTTAATTAAAAATATATTTAAAATACTACCCTCATCGATTGTTTTTGGTGATTTTCTATATTTTCTTTAAAAATGTTGATAAAAATAAATTTTCTCTACAATAATTTTCTAATATTAATCATGTACAATGTCCGCCCCGAGCTTTTAAACAGTTTATCTTTGACAAAAGATGGCTAGATAAACCGGGGTTTAAGGAATCCGTTCTTGAAGGCTGGAACTTCCCTTCGATGGAAGGAGCTTTGTTTAAACAAAAGGTCAAGCGTTGCAGAAAAACCATCTCTATCTGGAAGAAATCTAATTCTACTAACTCAGAGAAGCTAATTTTAGAATTACAGAATCAAATCGATCGCGCCCAAGAAGACGATTCCATTTCTGCGGAAGATCTTCTGGCTCTGAAATGGAAACTCTGTGATGCTTACAGGGAAGAAGAGATTTATTGGAAACTGAAGAGTAGGGAAACCTGGTACCAGGCTGGGGACAAGAACACTAAGTTCTTCCATGCCATTACCAAGCAACGACGAGCAAGGAACAAGATAATGGGACTTCTGAACGATGATGGTTTGTGGGTGGATAAGGAGTTGGGTATTGAGAGTCTTGCGACTGGTTACTTTAATGACCTATTTACCACTTCTGAGCCTCAAGAATTCCATTCCGTTCTTCGGGATGTGCCGGTTTCTATTTCGGAAGATATGAACCAGAAACTCACAAAGGAGATTTCCCCGGAAGAAGTTAAGCGCGCCCTTTTTTCTCTCCATCCCGACAAAGCCCCGGGACCAGACGGGATGACGGCTTTCTTCTACCAGAGATTCTGGGACTTGACTGGACCAGATCTAATAAAGTTGGTCCAAAATTTCCATGCTTCGGGATCTTTTGATGAGAGTCTTAATGAGACAAATATTTGTCTAATCCCTAAGACAGATAGACCAAGGAAAATGACAGAATTTCGGCCAATTAGTTTGTGTAATGTGGGTTACAAAGTAATCTCGAAAGTATTGAGCCTACGTCTTAAAAAACTCCTTCCGGATTTAATATCCGAGACTCAATCCGCCTTTGTGGCTGGACGTCTTATTACAGATAATATTCTTATAGCACAGGAAAATTTTCATGCTCTCCGTACGAACCCGGCTTGCAAGAAAAAGTTTATGGCTATAAAGACCGATATGAGTAAAGCTTACGATCGTGTGGAATGGTCTTTCCTTAGAGCCTTAATGTTGAAGATGGGTTTCGCTCAGAAATGGGTGGATATGATCCTCTTCTGCATTTCCTCGGTCTCGTATAAAGTGCTCTTAAATGGTTCTCCTAGGGGCTCCATTAAACCATCTAGGGGAATTCGCCAAGGCGACCCGATCTCCCCTTTCCTGTTTATTTTGTGTACAGAGGCCTTAGTGGCAAAGCTCAAAGACGCTGAATGGCACGGTCGTATTCAAGGTCTACAAATTTCTCGAGCAAGCCCTTCTACCTCCCACCTTCTTTTTGCCGATGATAGCCTGTTTTTCTGTAAAGCAGATCCGGTCCAAGGCCGAGAAATTATCGATATTCTCCGTACCTATGGTGAAGCTTCAGGACAACAGTTAAACGCTGCTAAATCCTCGGTAATGTTTGGTCACGATGTGGATAACTCAACCCGAACTGCCATAAAGTCGGCACTGGGAATTCATCGGGACGGGGGAATGGGATCATACCTGGGCCTCCCTGAACAGATACATGGCTCAAAAGTTCAAGTGTTTTCCTTTGTACGCGACCGACTCCAAAAGAGGCTCAACACCTGGTCTGCAAAATTCTTGTCCAAAGGTGGCAAGGAAGTTCTTATAAAGTCCGTCGCGCAGGCTCTTCCGACATATGTCATGTCGTGTTTCCTCCTTCCCAAAGCTATTCGGTCTAAGTTAAGTAGTGCTATTGCGAACTTCTGGTGGAAAACCAGTGAGAATAGTAATGGTATCCATTGGCTAGCGTGGGATAAGCTCTGTACCCCATATGTGGATGGTGGCCTCGGCTTTAGGACGCTTGAAGAATTCAATCTAGCTCTATTAGCTAAGCAATTATGGCGCCTTATTAGATTCCCTAACTCCCTCTTGAGTAGGGTTCTACGGGGACGGTACTTCCGCTTTAGCGACCCGCTACATATAGGAAATTCTAATCGACCCTCGTACGGATGGAGAAGCATTATGGCGGCCAAACCTCTACTGGTCTCAGGTCTTCGGAGAACCATAGGTTCCGGAATGTTAACCAAAGTTTGGGAAGATCCGTGGATTCCCACTATACCAGCGAGACCTGCCAAGAGCATCCTCCCTATGAGAGACCCTCATCTCTATGTCAATGACCTAATTGACCAATCTACTCAGCTATGGCGATTAGACCGTCTTCAAGCTCTGATTGACCCCGCTGACATTCCACTCATTTTAGGGATCCGTCCGAGTCGCACCTATCTGAGTGACGGATTTAGTTGGTCGCATACCAAGTCCGGAAATTATACTGTTAAGTCAGGATATTGGGCCGCGAGAGAATTATCTCGTCCTACTTGTGACCCCCCTTTTCAGGGACCGGGTGTCTCGGCACTTCAGGCACAAGTATGGAAGCTTAAAACTACGCGAAAGCTTATGCATTTCGCGTGGCAATGTATCTCCGGTTGCTTAGCAACTTGTCAGAGATTATCCTACCGCCACATTGGGAATGAGAAAGGATGCCCTCGCTGCGGGAGCCCGGAGGAATCTATAAACCACTTACTTTTTGACTGCCCGCCCTCGAGACAAATCTGGGCTTTGTCCCCTATCCCCACCTCGGGGCATATCTTCCCCAGAAGCTCCCTCTTCTATAATTTCGATTTTCTTTTCTGGCGTGGGAAAGAATTCGGAATAGAAGAGGACACTCTTGAGATCTTCCCTTGGATTCTTTGGTATATCTGGAAAAGTAGAAATAGATTTCTGTTTGAAAATATCAGAGAACCTCCCCAGGAGACTTTAGCCTTGGCGATTCAAGAGGCGAATGCTTGGAAACAAGCAATGCTGAAAGATCGATCTCCCGTTGACCCTCTCCCCCCCGGGGTATCTGCCTCACCCCCTCCCCTATTGACTTCGGAATGTCAGATTGATGCATCTTGGCATACGGATGATAGTCTAAGCGGGTTTGGATGGGTTTTAGTAAGACAGGATAAAGTCTGCCACCTAGGACTCAAAAGTGCTCGACGAAGTCTTTCACCGCTCCATGCGGAACTCGATTCTTTGTTGTGGGCAATGGAATGCATGATCTCGATTGGGGATTCTTCTGGTGCGTTTGCCTCCGATTGTTCTGATCTTATCTCCCTTCTCGACAACCACGAAGATTGGCCTACCTTTGCTGCTGAGCTAGCCTCTTTTCGGTCTTTAATTTGTTTTTTCCCTTCTTTTAGTATTAGATTTATTCCTCGCAATTTTAATGGTCGGGCTGATTGTTTAGCCAAAAAAGCTCGGACTCGTAATAGTCTGTTTTCCCATGTAAGCAAATCGGTTCCTGATTGGCTCTCCCTAGCGGAGAGTCTCTTTCCGATAACTTAATATAATGGCGTTCGAGGAAAAAAAAAAAAAAAAATCATGTACAATGTCATATTTACAAAAATTTACAAAAGACAATCACACATTAAAATATGCTACTAAATTTGATTTTGAGAATCATAATACTCGAATTTAGCATATCTTAATAAATGAGAAGTTTAGTTTTGCACCTTCTTTGCTCACAATCAAATTACACGGTCAAACCTCGCTAAACAAATTTAGCAAACCTTGCTACCCTATAGAAGATCTTGCTATAAAACATTATAAAAGACCTTCACTTCCATATCTAAAATCTAAACATATGAACCAACGTCTAGTCTATAAGCTCTGAAATGTGAATCAAACATAGATTTGAAAAGTCTACATATACAAACATAGATTAAAGAAAAAGTAAAAATCAATTTAAAGGGGTGACTGGTGGGCTGTGAGGACTTTTACTTCATTAAAAAGTATTTACAGTTTAATTTTATCCAATCATGCTTTTAAAGGTGTTAAAAATGCAACTGCTTTTTCTCTTTCTTTTGTTTTGTTTATTTTAAAAGTCCCTAAAATACTTTTGAATAAATAACAAATCAATTATTCTCTAATATAAAATACACGTTTCACTATTAATAAACACAACATTTCAATAAAAATAAAAACATTCCAACTGATAATAGTGGATGTAAACCCGAGTTTACTATCAGTAGTCTATAAAGAAATCATTCAAAAAAATAATAGTCAATGAAAAATCATTCTTTACAAAACAAATACATAATAGTTAAATTATAGCTTTTGTATCACTATAATTAAAAAATATATTAACATTACAGTCACTGCTTTTATAGCTTTTGTAATATCTTGCTTTGTTGAACACATGAAATCTATTACAAAATGGACGTGTTAAAGAACAAATAAAGATAATTTACAATGATACAAAATGAGAAAATGTTATTTTACAAAATCACAACTTTTGCAGATGCATATGTTCCAAACATACATGTTATTTCTTCTCTGTCAAGATGTATACAAAGATGATAATTAGGTAACAATTTGAGCAGAATAAAAGACAAAAAAAGACTTCAAGTAGAAAATTGATATCAGAGGTTCTATTTTTGTACATGAGGTTTTTAGAATGTTATTTGTGCCTTTCGCCTTGTTCAGTTTTTTTTTCTCCCTTCAAACTGGTGTTTAGAACAAGATTTATTTTGAATGATTCTCTGCATGTTGGCAGCTGCAACACGCTCTTGTTGAAGGTACACATGAGAGGTACATATGCATCAAACAATCCTTGAAAAACACATGTGTGCATGGAAGAAGCTACAAAATAAATCAGGTTAGTAACGTCCATGGTGCCAAAAACAGAAAGTTGAAATAACCTGTTGAGAGAACTCACTATTGTTTCTTTTGCCTCTCTAAAACATACTCCACAAACTTCTGAAAGATCAACAAGACCCAAATGTATGGAAACATGAGACATTTTGTAAATATTGTGATTAGGTAAATGATCAAGTCATTTTGTATATACTAATTATTTTACCTGTTTTAGACGATTAATGAGATTGAGAATACACGCATAATTCTCCATTAAACTTTTATTCTAAAATAAGCTGTGAATTCCTAATTTATGGATGACTTGAGATGTTTATACATTCTCTATTATCATGCCCAACTAGTATCATTTGTATATGGATGAGGATGTACAGCCTTAGACATAAAATCTTTTAGTTGAAAAAAAATCAACTTATAATCCGAGACCGTGTTCAAAAACTTACTAATAATGGAAAAAAATAAACTATTTTAAATAATACTTTTACTGTTACTAATTTAATTGTTAAAAAAAAAAACAATTCTACACCATTTTTATTAAATTAATTAAATTATCTGGGTTTGACCCTGAAGAGATCTGCGTTCTTCTTCTTTCTTGGTCATCTTCATTAACTAATTAAAATAAAAAATAAACATAAGGAAATTAAATTGACTGTCTCAACCAAATCAGTAAGACCAAAAAAAAAAAAAAAAACGCTCGCCTACTTCTCTTCTCTTCTCTCTCACCCGCTTCGCTTCGTCCTCTCTCTTTCTCTCACCATAGTTTCAAGCTCCAAAGCTCTTCAATCAGATTCTAGAAACTAGGTTTTTTCTGATTTCAACTTCTTACCTACTTTTTGGTTTTTTTCCGGAGCTTCAATGGAGTTCAAGATCATTGATTAGGGTTTTGTTTTCTTCGATTCGAACCAAGTAATCTCAGATCGACTTCATTTTCTGGTTTTTGAGCTTCTTCTTCCTAGTCTCTTACATAGTTTTGATTGTTTCTTGTAGGTTTTTGGTAGAAGTTATGATGAGAAATGAAGCTTAGATTGAGATTAAGTTATGGGTTGTGTATTTGGCCGAGAGGCGACAACAGCTGAACCTAAACAAGCTAAGAGCTCTAAAGCTAGTGGAGTAGTAGCTGGAGAGAGTAGTGTGCAAGTGACTACTAAGAGTAATGGAGTTATTGTGGAAGTAGAGAAGAAGAATGAGGAGGAAAATGGTGATAAAGAAAGGAAATCGAAAGGAGATCGAAGAAGGTCGAAGCCTAATCCGCGGTTGAGTAATCCGTCGAAGCATTGGCGTGGTGAACAGGTTGCTGCTGGTTGGCCTTCTTGGCTTTCTGATGCTTGTGGTGAAGCTTTAAATGGTTGGGTTCCGAGAAAAGCCGACACTTTCGAGAAAATCGATAAGGTGGTGACGAAAAGACATACTTTTTGTGTGTTTTTTTTTTGTTGTTTTTGAAATTTCTCATTTGGGGATATCTTTTTTGATGTGGTAGATTGGACAAGGAACATATAGTAATGTGTACAAAGCTAAGGATATGTTGACTGGTAAAATCGTTGCGTTGAAAAAGGTTCGGTTTGACAATTTGGAACCAGAAAGTGTGAAGTTTATGGCGAGAGAGATTCTTGTGTTGCGGAGACTTGATCATCCCAATGTTGTGAAGTTGGAAGGTTTGGTTACGTCAAGGATGTCTTGTAGCTTATACCTTGTTTTTCAATACATGGATCATGATTTGGCTGGTCTTGCTTCAAGTCCTGTTGTTAAGTTCTCCGAACCAGAGGTTAGGCGTTCAAGTATCTCGCATTCTAAATTTATAGGCTGTTTTTAGTACCTATAAATACCATTTAGTCGTTTTTAAGATCAGATTACTCTTTCATATTGCAGGTTAAATGTTTGATGCGTCAATTGATATCTGGTCTCGAGCATTGTCATAGTCGTGGTGTCCTTCATCGTGACATCAAAGGATCAAATCTTCTTATTGATGATGGTGGGGTCCTAAAAATTGCTGATTTTGGACTGGCAACAATTTTTGATCCTAATCACAAGCGGCCAATGACAAGTCGAGTGGTTACACTATGGTATCGAGCTCCAGAGCTTCTGCTTGGGGCTACTGATTATGGTGTAGGTATTGATCTTTGGAGTGCTGGCTGTATTTTAGCGGAGCTATTGGCGGGAAGACCTATTATGCCCGGTCGGACAGAGGTATCTAGTCAATTCATCATCTTAATAGTTCCTTCAATATGCAAGTTCTGTTCTCTATTTCCCTAGTATCTCTTTCTTTAGAATATTTAAAATGTGCTTTTATGCGTGCACACAGCCACACACACAGACATACACAGATAGACAGTGATTTTACATGAACATAATAGATTCAAAATTAATACTGATCTCCGTATGTAACTAGAGTGGTTTCTGGGTAGTTTTGTTGAAAACTGGCACAGTGTGCATCGCCAACTTTTATTATCCTGCAGTTTACTTTGAACTTTCTTGATCAAATTCTTTTTATCTGTTTTTTTTTTCTGTTTACTGGTCTATAAAGACTAGATATGTTATTGGAGAGTTCGGCATGCGGAATAATTACTTATTGGCTCCGCATGCTTATGATCATCATGAAATAGGTAGAGCAGCTCCATAAGATTTACAAGCTCTGTGGTTCACCATCAGAGGATTATTGGAAAAAGGGAAAATTCACACATGGAGCCATATACAAACCCCGTGAACCATACAAAAGAAGCATAAGAGAGACATTTAAAGACTTCCCACCATCATCTCTTCCCCTCATTGACGCCCTTCTTTCAATCGAACCAGAAGACCGCCAAACTGCATCTGCTGCTCTAAAAAGTGAAGTAAGTTCTTAGGTTTGATTTTGCTGCTGTTTTACATGAAATGGTCTGATGATGCTGGGCAGGTTTGAGTCAGTTTATTTGCACTTTTTCCTTTTCAGTTCTTTACAAGTGAACCATATGCCTGTGAACCTGCTGATCTACCTAAGTATCCCCCGAGCAAAGAAATGGATGCAAAGCGACGAGATGAAGAAACTCGAAGGTTAGTAACATGACTTTAAATGTTTGGTATAGTTCGGCGTACTCCACTCAATTCGTGATTCACATTCTTTAAAGCAAGATAGTATGCACACCTTTTACTGGCAGGAATAAACCATAAATGAAAAACCACATGTCCCACTCCGTATTTAATTGTGCCGCTCAATTTTCTCAATGGAGAGTTTTTCCGACCATACCTTATACCGATTTAGGCTCTGACTTTGGCTGGATAGTAAATATTATCATCCAGATAGAGTGGAGTGAAACACAATTACGTTGGAACTTCAGATATTATTGTTGCGTCCACCATTACTTGTAGCGATTTTATACTGTATTTGTCACCATGCATCGACTAACACTTTTCTCCTGTGCAGACAAAGAGCTGCTAGTAAAGCCCAAGGGGATGGTGCAAGGAAGAATCGGCACAGAGATCGTTCAAATCGAGCGCTTCCAGCTCCTGAAGCTAATGCAGAACTTCAGTCAAATGTCGATGTAAGTCCCTCCCAACTGTTTTCTTTTCAACAACGTCTCTTCTTTTCTACATTTATTCCTGTGATTCAAATCAGGTTGCTTCTAGGCGGGTACTGTTGTTATAGATAGGTTTTGCTGTATATACTTGTGCATTTAGGCTGTTGTCTATGTTAGGAAGTGAGCTGAATAATGGTTTTATACCACCAATGCTTATGCCTCTAGGACAGTGAAATCTTCACTAGTGTTCTGCTTCTGGCATATCTAGACACACACGCACACAAAGACTGATCCGTTTATTTACATACTATCTTTTGACTCTAAAAAGCAGAGAAGGAGATTAATCACACACGCAAATGCAAAGAGCAAGAGCGAGAAGTTTCCGCCACCACACCAAGATGGTGGAGCAATGGGTGTACCATTGGGTGCCTCACAGCATATAGACCCAACATTTATCCCACGAGACATGGTCCCATCATTCACATCCTCTTCTTTCAATTTTTCCAAAGACGAACCACCAACACAAGTCCAGACGTGGTCAGGTCCTCTGGGTCATCCAATCACGGGCATTTCCAGAAAGAAGAAAGATAACACCAAAAGCAGCAAAGGAAAGAGAGCAGTGATGGCTTGAGAAGAGAAAGTGTATAACTACTTCATGTATAACAATGTAAGTGTTTACTCTCTATTCTTTGTGGCTTCCCGAAGAGAAAATGTTTTAATTCTTTTCAAATTTGCGTAGACTGTCATGTATTTATAACTATATATTTATTATATATATACACTACTTCTTTTGTTGCTATTAGTTTTAAATTTACATTCTGTTCTTAACACTAGTTATTTGTTTTAGATTAGTGATATGGTCGTGATACAATTCTTGTTAAAACACTTTGTTTTCCGCTTTTCTGCGTTGAGTGAGTCTAGTTTTACCAGTAAGACGCAGTCGTTTTGCGTTTTCAATTGCATTTGTTTGTAGGATTTATGGTTTTAACTGCATTTTGCACTTAGGAATGTGTTATTGCTGTGGTTAGTTTTTGCATACTTGATATAATGAACAGCTACGTTAGATATAATTGTTTCTTCAAAACTTTAAAATTCTGCGCAAAAATATTCTTCTTGATCTGGATTGTTGACATGTAAATTCGACATTGAAATGGATAGAGTCTTCACATACTAAACTGGTTAAAGCCATGTGATACGACGACTTGACAAGGGATGGAGCGTCTTGGGATTTTGATGAGTTTGTTGAAGATGTCATATTGTCGTCTTTTATAATAGTGCAAACGTAGAGAGAGTTTTTTGAGGATTGCCGAATTCTCTAGAAAGTACCTTACCAGCTCCATTTCTGAAGCATATCCCAAGATGCTCGTTTCGAAATCAACAAACTCGAGAGACGATAACAAACACGTAGGCACAGATGAAAATCGGAATGAATTCATCACCTCCAAATACTTTGAGCTATCTTCCCATTTCAAGATAAGGGATTTCAGATTCGGACAGCTCTGGAGAAAAGCTGGCAACCATTTCATATTGAATACACAGAGAGTAACACACAGGCGAGACACGGAACCAAATCGAGGCAACGGTTCTGATGTCACATATTCGTGGATGAGCTTTATAGTCTTTGAACATATCGTCATATCTCTGACCCTCGAAATCCCGAAGAAAAAACTGCGCATGTTTTTTTTCATTGATGGAAAGGCAAGCGAAATATCTAACTTGGCATTGGAATCCATATTGATTATTCTAAAGCTTTCTGATAAGTAATCATAAATACTCAAAAAGCATAGCTGATGAGCATCAATCACAACTCTTGAACCCGAATCTTGCTGAGAAAATCGTATTCTTATAATGAGCCTTATCAATGACCTAGAGAGCACCCGAAAGACTTTTGCATTATGATTCAAACATCCAACAATCTCTAACTCTTCCAAGAGGGGACAGGATGAGACAAGTCTCTCAAAAGTGGCTTCATTGGGATACACGTTATCTTTTAAATGCATAGTCTTCAGAAGAGGTAAAGAAACAAACTCGACATCATCAAAGCTCACCCGAGCGAGTTTTAGGTATACGAGTGTCTTGCAGATATAAAAGGTTAGGGGCATCTCATGATACTCAAGATCTAGAAGACACTTAACCTCTAGATGTTACTAGAGCATCAATCCATGATGTGAAATAAGACGTATCATCTACACCACCGTGGCATTCATCAATAGTTAGCTTGACTTTGTCTATGCAAAACACTTTATCAGATTCGAAATACTTGTCACCATAACTCACAAAGGCATTGAAATCTTGGAATTTTTGGGAGTTCAATTCCAAACTAGGAACCCAAAGCCAAAGACTTGTCCATGTGGTGGATAAAACACTTGTTCTAACAACTTCCTTTGTGGAAAGATAACTAAGTATGTGACATATCAAAGAATCTGGTAATTGGCTTATCCTATCTTTCTTCAATACCTTTCTTCTCGATATTTCCATCTACCAACAATGTTAGAGATAGAATCCAATTCAAACCAAAACCTTTTTTTATAAAAGTAGATATTATAAACTCCCCGATAGAATCATCCAAAGCTCTCAATTGCTTGGATGAGTTTCACAAACGAAACATCATCTTACTTATAATAAAACGTAAAAGTAAATCCCTATGAGAAAAGGAAACAACAAAATACAAATCCAAATAACAATGTTAGAGATAGAATCAAATCCAAACAATACTTGGGTTGTTCAGCCCTAGATATGCCATGTAATAATAAATAAATAAAAATGCATTTAATTGTAAAATCAAATCCTAATCATTTTTTTTTTAAACCGAAACAATCATTAAACTACATTTAATTATAAATCTAAACCCTAACCACTTTTTTATAAACCCAAACCAACATTTAATCATTGTTTAATTGTAAAATGTAAATCCTAATCCTCTTTTATAAACCTAAATCGACATATAACCTCGTTTAATTTTAAAATATAATCCCTAACCATCCCTCATAAACCCAAACCGACATAGAACCTCGTTTCATTGTAAAATCTAAACCCTAAACCCTCTTTTATAAATCCAAACCAACATTTAAACTCGTTTAATTGTAAAATCTAAATCCTAACCCACTATTATAAATCCAAACCGATATTTAACCTCGTTTAGTAGTAAAATCTAAACCCTAACTTTCTTTTATAAACCCAAACCGATATATAGTTTTTTAATTATTATTTTTTTGTTTTTTTTTTATCAGGGGCAAGTATTTTTCTTTTTTAAATCCTAATAATTTCCTAAATCACAAAATTGAAAGTACCCGTATCAAACAATGTCCTGACATAGCCCACGAGAAACTCAGGTGTTTGGTCCCAAAGCCCACTGGCTACAAAAATGCCTTTTCCTTGGCTGTTAGTAGAAGCTATGCTTGGTTCAAAACGTTCCATTCAAAAGGCTAGCTGAGTTTTAAAAGTCTCAAAACTGGGTTAGGCTTGAAGGAGACCGCATTGTTTTTCCGGTTGTGTCAAGGACTATGTTGATGTGATTCTGAGTCTTTTGCCTTTGGCTTCTGGGAGTATCAGGACAGTTGTAGATATATTACATGAATAGACACCAGAACTTGATTAATTGATATAATACTATGGATTCATCTTGTGTTTTGGAGCCTTTCTGTTGAACTATAACTAACATCTTGACAATTTCCATTGCACCGCGGGATATAAACGATTGCTCAACCAATTAGAAAGTAAAAGTTTTTTGAAGGTGGAAGTACAAATGTTTTAGAAGAAAGATAAGTCAAATACAAGCCTTGTAATAATTTTCCCAAAATATAGCATAAATCTCAACAGACACAATTGCTCTCTAGCTAACCAAACAATAAGCAGATACTGGTTTGGGTTTTTGCTAATGTAATTAAACGATGATATTCTACTTGGCCTTTTCCAACAAGAGCTCCTCAATGAGCTCAGCTGCTTGCTCAACTGTAGCGATTGACTGTGCTTTCTCCTCCGCCATTTCAATCCCAAACTCTTCCTCTAGTCCCATAACAATCTCCACCTGAACACAAGAGTCATGAGCATATGCATATCAGTAACAATATATACACTAAAGAGTTAAGGAAACGCAGCGACCCTCACAATCTAAATATTCTGGTGACACAAATATGAGCTTGAAAGCAGGATACAAGTTTCAAGAGGCATTGACTAAGCATCAATAACTCCAATGAACAATCCATTACAAAAGTTGAATCCAATGAGCAGACGAAACAAATCTTTTAAGTTACCGTATCAAGAGAATCAGCACCAAGTGCAGCAAATTTGGTGGCAGCGGAAATTTCGTCAGCCTCTTTAAGTGAGAGTTGCTTTCTGACAACTGCACACACCTTGTCCACTGTCTCAGGTTTTGCCTATTTACCAACAATCAAAAATGGAGAATTGAATCAGCCAAGCGTACGATAGAAGCCTAATCACATTGTTTGCGAATGTTGAATTGGACCAGCAAAAACAAAACTTCTACTAAGAGAGAAGAGACAAAGAGGTCTTACAGCGCAGGAAACACTCAAGCGGGTAGGGAGCTGGCGAAGATTAAAAGAAAGATTGGTTCTTCTTCCATAGGTAAAGCATTTAACTTGATTAGCCGCAATCACCTGTCATCATATTCGAATAACTTCCCATCATCAGTACAAATTTGAAACTCGAAATGCAAAATAACGAAACAATCTGCGAGAAGGAACAAGCTTCTCGGTTTCTTGAATATCAAAGAAGCAACTAAAATCTATGTAAGAAGTAATTCTTGATTCATTGTTCCATCATACTCTTACAAAAGATAGAGTCTATGCAAATTCAGATATAAGAAAACAAATTCAATTCGACGAGAACAAACAATTATTCCGGTGATTTGACGGAGCTAAGTAACACAGATTCATCAGATCGATAAGAGTAAAAGTTCCTGCAGAGCCAAATACCTAAAATTCCAGAAAACTATAAAAGATGAATCATAGAGCTGAGCTAATGATTCTGCAATTAGATCTACCATTGAAGAAGAACAGCAACTAGATCCAGATCAATCATATCAGATCTATACCAAAATGGGACAAAACCAGTAAAGAAAAGAAAGAGAGAGAGAGAGACCAGTTGGCGAGGACGAGCTAGCAGAGAAGTAGAAGAAGAAGCAGCAATGGAAGCCATTGAATGAATGAATCGAGAGATCGGAGTGAGGCGGAGAAGACGAAGAGCTGTGAGGGCACAGAGTCACAGACTACACAGTGAGAGTGAAGAAGCAAGTGGGAGAGATTTTATAGTCACCAAAAAAAAAAAAAGTTTCTGAGATTCCAATGAAAGTGAAGACGGACAAGTCAGGTGGGGGTTGGTGCTTTGGCAGATATATGCAGATGCAGGTTGGAAAAATAAAACGTATTTGCCAAAAATGTTTTTTTTTTTTTTTTCGGTTTAAAGATTGGGAGAGTTACTAGATTAACCCAAATTTTGAGTTTAATTACTAGATTGACTCCCAAATAATTTGAGTTAAATGAGTTATTTTCATGCCTAAAATACCCTTGTCTCATGTGTAAAAAAAATATATATATACAAAAATACCCTTCATAAAAAATTTCAGCAATTTTAGAATAATCTGCTATATAGTTGTGACAGATTAATTTATAAACTGCAGACTTATTTGTTTTTCAAAATATAATCTTGTATGTTATGACAGACTTGTTTTATGTTATGACAGATTAAATTATATTACCACAAATCTGTCGTTTGATGGCAGATTTGTTAAAGTAAAAAAAAATTGTTGGAATGACCTTTATAATTTTGTATGTTACGACAGATTTGTAATTATGAACCCCTTTGATAACAATGTTTTTTTTTTTTGCAGATTTTTTTGCTATAATAATATTTACAGTGGTGACAGTTTTTTTTTCTTGTAATGACAGACTTATTAGAGCAGTTACCATATTTACCACTAAAACATTAAATGTCGACATCTAGGGTTTTTGTAAAAAAAAACGTGGCCTCCTTAGTTTTTGTGAAAAAAAACGTGGCCTCATGAGAGAAAAGTCTGATTTGGGGGAAATAAGATAACCTAAATCGAGTTTGTGTTTGTTTTAGTTGTTTTGTTTCTTAAATTTTCTGTTTTTTTTTAATATTCGGAAATCAAATAATTTTTTTTTTTGTGAATAGAAATGTTGTAGAAATCTTGATTAAGGTTACTTGGTCGTTTTACACAAAATTTGTATTAGTCTAGTTATCCATCACTAATGGGAGTCATTTTAGTTATTATTGCCCAGTTTTGAGTCAATCTGGGTAATTTTCAGTTAAAGATTTTATGAATATTTTAAAGATCAATATTCCTACAAATAATAATGATGAAAATTCTAAATAAATTTTCGATTTGGTTAAGCCATAGAAATTTGAGAAGTAAAAAGCTAGTGAGCTCGAATTCTAAGTTAGTTTTATGCGGTGTAAAAGTTGTTGAAGCAAAAAGCAGAGAAAAGGTTATAGCAAGTCTAGGTGAAAAACATAATCGGATCGAACAATATCCTCAAAACTCTTATTATCTCGATTTGTAGTTTAATAATATCCAGATTTGGATCCATATATATCCCAAATACCTGAATTTTTGGATCCAGTTTCGGATAATATTTCACGCCATACTACTAGTTTAATTATGGATTCCCGATTAAATCATTCTTTTTTTTGTCACTGTTTATTAAAACCTTCAAACGAATTAAACTGAGATACATAGCCGGAGAACACATATATATATCTCTGGAGTCTTAGATGGCGGAAAAACAAGTTCCCCGAAACCAAAGCATAACTAAACTTACAAAAGCAAAAGGCCAATTTAAGGCACAAAACCACAATTAAAACAAACGAAACTAAAAAATGAACCCCTAATTACTTCTTCTCCGAGAACTGAACTTTGTTGATGATGATGGTAAACTCCACAACCACTGGAAGATTCGGAACTACACGTCTTCGCTTAGTGCTTAAAAGACTTAAGAAATTAAACCATCTACTTACAAACTCCAGCTTGATGGGGCTTCGTTGATGAAGCTTTGGAACCATCGAAAACATGCTGACACCGGTAAAGTCGAGATTCACTCGAAGAAGGTTCGATTAAGCAGAAGTAGACCTTATCAGATCTTGATCCAGATCCGATCGTGAATTTTAGTTGGAGGAAGCTCAAGGAGCCGCCTAACCGCATGATCACCCATCTCAACGATGAGAGCTAAGGATCCGATTAAATCATTCCAAAGTATGGTTATATGACGTAAAAGTGAAATTACAAAAATGCAAATAAAGATAAGTTTAATTATTTTATTTTATTTTTGTTAAAAAATATTCAAAGATAGGTTTTATTGAATTCTATATATTACATACGCTCGTAATATACATTATATATATAGACATATCAACTTCCATGCAGTATACAGTACGTATTACATATAATATAACTTATAGAATTCACCCATCTAGACATATAAATATATGCCACCACACCCTCCATGGCTGAGTTTCAATGGATGTTTGAAAAGACCGGCCTTGTTCTTGCTCAACATTTGTCTACTTCGTCCCAACTTGAACCTGTAATTTGAGTTCACAGATATGTTCCCACCAGCTTCTCTCAGATAATAATTAATTATTGTTGTGTGGCTTGGAGCTTGAGGAATTTGGAGGTGAAGCCCACATGGCTCGATTTGGCCTGACCCATCCACCAGCGACGATCATAGTTGGTGGTTCATTGTTCTCCTTTTGACCTATCTTGTTCTCTGAATCATTATGCTTCCATTTTGGGATCTTCTTAGTCATGTACTTCCCCTTCGTTTTACCTTCATTGCTTGAGGTGCCTTTATAATCCATTTGATTACGTTCATGCTCCATTGAACTGGCCTGCCTTTGCGTTTGTCTATGACCGATAACCAAATTGACCGACTTCTCTACCCGAGCAACTACGCGGTCAGCTCTAAGATTCTGATGAGGAAAACCATATTGGCTCTTCTCATCGCGGTTGTACCCACCATGATGATCCACCATTTTGCGAGAAATAGAATTAAAAAGGTCTTGTGAGTTTCAAAGTTGGACAGAAATATACACACCTCTCCCTTTTTTATATTGCTTACACTTGAAGCATGGTAGAAGGCAAGATTCTACACTCAAGAATCATATTCCCTCTACTTTTAATGTCATACGTACAACAAAAGAAAAGAGAATATTATCAAATCGTACTTTCACAATTTGAAGTACCATTTACTGATTCTTTTTGTCATCTAAATTTGCATGATATTTGAAACAATGTAACTACAAGAATTAAAAATCCTAATAAGAATTTGGATTGCGAAAACTAAAAAAGTATAACTCCAATAAGGCAATCAGTATAAGTTACTTATTGATTTAATTAGTTTTTGATCTCAAACTTTGGAGGCTAATTAGGTATCTTATACTCATTGCTTTATTGGACTAAACAGATATATTTCTTGTTTTATTTGGAGAATATTATCAACATAAATGAAAATATATATTTAACTAATTGTGATAAATATGCACAATGGTAATATGAGAAATAAGATAACGAAAAAATATCTCCTATATTTGGAGAATATTAGCAAGATTCACTATTCCTCCATATAAAGATCTTCGGTGTAATCACAAAAACACTACCATGGCCGACCCAACCCAAAGTTCATCTTGTAAGAATTAGGATCTTACTTGCTTTTGTGTGATCGAATCTCACCAAATCCGACCCAACAACTAAAAAACCTAAAATTTGCCCAAATTAATATTTCTTTATATATTCTTTAGTAATAATATATATAGTTGCATTTATTTCTCTTTCTAAAAAAATAAAAATATTGTTTATGTCGCAAATTGTATTGGACAACAATAGATATATCAAAAAAAAAAAAAAAAAAAAACAATAGATATATCACATTCATTTCCATGCAGGTTTTATTTGTCTAATACCCAAAAATAGAAAAAGAAGAAGCATGTGTAAAGACAAGTGGTACGAGATCACATGTGACCATATATAGGTGTTGAAATTGAGACGGAAGGACTTAAAGCAAAGGAATATGAATACAACCAAGAATCTATGCTTCTTGCTTTGTTTCTCCCTTCTTTACCGTTAAAAACCTTGCGGAACCCATTTGAACACGTCTTTCGTGTGACCTAACCCACTAAAAACATATTACACCACACCTAACTTTTGTTTTTCCATCATTATAGTTTTGTTTTTTTTTATCCATCATTATAGTTATTGTACAAAGAATTAAAATCTAATGAGAAAAAACAAAAATATATTAATCATAAAGAGAGACGGAATAATAGATAAACAATAGAGTGAAAAGTAAGAGTGTTGGCTTTTGTTTCTTGTTAGCGACTAGCTAATTAACTGTGTAATCTTGATAACGACTCCAAGAAAAAAAAATAAATGCCAAAAGAAAAATAGTTCAATTATTTATCTGAAATTAGACATCTCTGAACTTAGTATGAAATATATTTCTTCATAAAATATGTTCTGGTTTACCTCAAAAAATTAAAAAATGAAAAAATTCTTCATAGAATGTGAATCTCAATCCCTTAAGGTCAAGTATGGAATGGAGTCTAGTTATAGAAATAAATGAAATGATATAATGGAATAAAGTAGAAATGAAAAAGTATTGAGTGAAATTAGATTAAAGTAACAAATTTTAGTAAGGGGAGATTTTTATAAATATACTAAATATAATAATAAATTTGAAAATTACTCTTTTCTAGTAATTTGATGGGTTGATGTAGTAAATATTTTGGATAATGATTGGTTTAATATTAACTACGAATATTAATTAGAGAAATTGTTAAAAATGCCCCTTTTTCAATACCCCTTTTCAAAAATGCCCCATTTGAGAGTCCATTTTTAAGTTTGCCCTCTTTTAATTTTTAATGACCATTTTACCCTTATTTGAAACAAAATTAGGTCCATAAAATACAAAATATTTTTTGGCGGGAAAAGTGATCCCGCAATTTTCCCGCCAAAACACTTGTAAAAACCTTTAAAATACCTTGTAAAATTTTTCCGTAAAAATTTTTCCCGCCAAAAATTTTTTTTTGCGGGAAAAGTGATTCCGCAATTTTTTTGACGAAATTTTTTTGGCGGGAAAATTTTTGGCGGGAAAAATTTACAAGGTATTTTAAAGGTTTTACAGAGTATTTACAAGTGTTTTGTAAGGTTTTACAATGTATTTTAAAAGGTTTTACAAGGTACTTATAAGGTTTTATAAGGTATTTATAACTTGTAAAACCTTATAAAAAACTTGTAAAACCTTATAACTTGTAAAACTTTATAAAATAGATTGTAAAATCTTATAAATACCTTATAAATACGTTGTAAAACCTTTTAAAATACATTGTAAAACCTTATAAATACCCTGTAAAATACCTTTAAAATACCTTGTAAATTTTTCCCGCCAAAAATTTAACGCCAAAAAAATTGCGGAATCACTTTTCCCGCAAAAAAAATTTTTTGGCGGGAAAACTTTTTGGCGGGAAAAATTTTACAAGGTATTTTAAAGGTTTTACAAGTTTTTACAAAATCAAATTTGTAATTTTGATGTGTGCACATTCTCATGTTTTCCTTATATATTTGTGATATCTTTTATTAAAAGAAGGGTAATTTAGTCATTTTGTACATAAAAGGGGTATTTTTAAAAATGGACAGCCAAATGAGGTATTTTTGAAAAGGGGTATTGAAAAAGGGGCATTTTTGTAAGTCTCCCTATTAATTATATATGATTCAAAAATATTTTTTAGTTTTTTCATAGTTAATATTTTCGAGGTATATAATATATATGCACTATATTTATTTTAAATTTATTACGAATAAAAATTATATAATTTAAATTTAATTATCACAAAATAAATTACTTATTTAAATATTATAACTAAAACTTATTATCTCTATTCAAAAAAAACAAAAAGAATCGACAATGTAAAAAATCAATTAACCAAGATACAAGTCAACTGTTTTAATATAAGTCAATGGAGAATAAAATTAAGTCGACAAAAATAAAATATAAGTCAATAGTTCAACAAATTAACTTTATCAATAAATCGATGTAAAATTAAATAAGTCAATAGTTTAAAAAATTCGACTATGTCAAATATCAATCAACCAAAATATAAGTCGACTATTATAAAATAAGTCGATAGAAAAAAATGTAGTTGACGAAAAAAATATAAGTCGATAGTTCAAAAAATCGACCTTATTAGTAAGTTAGTATACAATGAATTAAGTCTACCATGAATAAACATGTCGACAGCAAAAATTATAAATCAATAAACAAAATAAATAAGTCAATAGTTCAAAAAATCAATTATTTTATAAATAAAATAGTTAAAAGATAAGTCGAGTGTTGTAAAATAAGTCGACAGAAAAGAAAATTAAGTCAACAAAGTGAAAAATAAGTCGAAAGTTCAAAAAAATCGACTTTATCAATAAATTACCTTAGAATGAATAAATTTACCAAAAAATAAGAAGAATTTATTTATTATTAGTTATATAGTTTCTAATTATTAATTTTAAATAAATTACAAATCTTACTAATATTATCAACAATAATATTTTATATTTTTTATCTATTCAAAATTTTAGATAATATATGATTACCTCAAACATTGTAAATAAGTTTTTGATTTTTATTATTAATAAATAATAACAAATTTTAGTTATTTAAAATTTTAAATTTATATTATTTTAAATTTATTAATTTAAATAATATATAAATTAATTAAAAGGGTAATATGGTAAATTTTCCATATAAAAAGAGTAGTATTCAAATTACTATAACACTTAGTGTAGTTTTCAATTTTTTTTTTAATATAATTTAGTATATTTATAAAAATCTCTCTTTTAAAAATATGAAAATTACTTTACAGATCGAGAAGTAGTTTAGTTTTACTTAATAATTTCAATATATTAGAATTAATAATGAAAATTATATAAAGCAGAACACATGTCACTATAATTCGACATATGTCAAAATTATAATCATCGAGATCGCAATACATGTTAATTGATCGATTAGATTCTAATGCATGATATATAAATATATATATATATATATATCTATATCTATGTGATGGTGATGTTGGCTTTCATTGAAAAGTTAACTGAAGAAAATCAGAAAATTCAAAATCACACATATGAAAAATTCACTAAAGACATGTTTCTCCCATCAACCAAAATGAGCAAAAGAGAAGATCGACCAATCCCATTGATGTTCGACCAATCCAACAATGAGTTTGAATAGTACGAATGCTTACATCTATTTTTTCATTGGAATAAGTAAAGTAGTTAGTTTTTAAAGTATATAGAAATTAGGTAATTTTAAAATGATATCCATCATCCACGTAAACCAGATATCATCCACGAGAATCATCAATCGTCCACGAAAAGCATCCCCTATCCATCGTATATAAGATATTTTTCACGAAAATCATTCATCATACACCTAAATATTGTTTTCGGAAACCATGAGTCGTACACCAAATATTTTTATTTTAAAAAAATATTTTTAAAATTGATTTCTCTTATTTTTAATCAATTTAGTATCTAATTACTTAATTTATTTTAGAGTAGATAGATATTGAATATCAAACAACTCTTATTAATTATCTTATTTGTTAAGTAAATATTTTTTATTTCTTAATTTGGAGTTCTAATGTAAATCATAATTATGGATACATATGGAATTTAATATGTAAAACGTACCCATTTAGCAAATGACTAAAAAATATTATCTATTCCATATATTATAATTTTAAGACTTCCATTTTATATTGCAGTACCAATTTTCTTGCTAAAAACACAGAAGCATATTTTTTTTTGTGTGCAACCATTATGTGAATATCAAGTAGTATAGGTGTCTGATTGGCTACCTCTTGTAACCCCACTTCCTTAATATGGAGTTTTGAAAGTGAGATCCGATGAAAATTGAAAACATCTGCAATAATTCTTTTCTACTAAATATTTATTTACTTATTTTTAGCACTTCATATGAAAAACAATTCTAAAACGAAACCGAAAGAAAGAAGAAATATTGATA